ATAACTCCAGAGCTTCTATATCTACCTGGTAACTCCAGAGCTTCTATATCTACCTGAGTAACTCCAGAGCTTCTATATCTACCTGGTAACTCCAGAGCTTCTATATCTACCTGGTAACTCCAGAGCCTCTATATCTACCTGGTAACTCCAGAGCTTCTATATCTACCTGATAACTCCAGAGCTTCTATATCTACCTGGTAACTCCAGAGCTTCTATATCTACCTGGTAACTCCAGAGCTTCTATATCTATCTGGTAACTCCAGAGCCTCTATATCTATCTGGTAACCCAACCTCTAATTCTATCTGGGAACTCCAGAGCCCCTATATCATCTGGTAACTCCAGAGCCTCTATATTTTACCTGGTAACTCCAGAGCCTCTATATCTATCTGGTAACTCCAGAGCCTCTATATCTATCTGGTAACTCCAGAGCCTCTATATCTACCTGGTAACTCCAGAGCCTCTATATCTATCTGGTAACTCCAGAGCCTCTATATCTATCTGGTAACCCCCAAGAGCCTCTATATCTATCTGGGAACTCCAGAGCCTCTATATCTATCTGGTAACTCCAGAGCCTCTATATCTATCTGGTAACTCCAGAGCCTCTATAAACTATCTGGTAACCAGAGCCTCTATATCTACCTGATAACTCCAGAGCCCCTTTATCTACCTGGTAACTCCAGAGCCTCTATATCTATCTGGTAACTCCCAAACTCTATATCTATCTGGTAACTCCAGAGCCTCTATATCTACCTGGTAACTCCAGAGCCTCATATCTAAACTGGTAAAATCCAGAGCCTCTTATCTATCTGGTAACCCAGAGCCTCTATATCTACCTGGGAACTCCAGAGCCTCTATATCTATCTGGTAACTCCAGAGCCTCTATTCTATCTGGTAACTCCAGAGCCTTATATCTAAACCCGATAACTCCAGAGCCTCTATATCTATCTGGTAACTCCAGAGCCTCTATATCTATCTGGTAACTCCAGAGCCTCTATATCTATCTGGTAACTCCAGAGCCTCTATATCTACCTGATAACTCCAGAGCCTCTTTATCTATCTGGTAACTCCAGAGCCTCTATATCTATCTGGTAACTCCAGAGCTTCTATATCTACCTGGTAACTCCGAGCCTCTATATCTATCTGGGAACTCCAGAGCCTCTATATCTAAACTGGTAACTCCAGAGCTTCTATATCTACCTGGTAACTCCAGAGCCTCTATATCTATCTGGTAACTCAAGAGCCTCTATATCTATCTGGTAACTCCAGAGCCTCTATATCTATCTGGTAACTCAGAGCCTCTATATCTATCTGGTAACTCCAGAGGCCCTATATCTATCTGGTAACTCCAGAGCTTCTATATCTATCTGGTAACTCCAGAGCCTCTATATCTATCTGGTAACTCCAGAGCCTCTATATCTATCTGGTAACTCCAGAGCTTCTATATCTACCTGGTAACTCCAGAGCCTCTATATCTATCTGGTAACTCCAGAGCCTCTATATCTATCTGGTAACTCCAGAGCCTCTAATCTATCTGGTAACTCCAGAGCTTTTATATCTACCTGGTAACTCCAGAGCCTCTATATCTATCTGGTAACTCCAGAGCCTCTATATCTTTTCTGGTAACTCCAGAGCCTCTATATCTATCTGGTAAATCCCAGAGCCTCTATATCTATCTGGGAACTCCAGACCTCTATATCTATCTGGTAACTTTCCCGAAACCTCTATATCTACCTGGTAACTCCAGAGCCTCTAATCTACCTGTAACTCCAAGCCTCTATATCTACCTGGTAACTCCAGAGCTCTATACTACCTGATAACTCCAGACTCCCATATCTACCTGTACTCCAGAGCTTCTTATCTACCTGATAACTCCAGAGCTTCTATATCTACCTGGAACTCCAGAGCTTCTATATCTATCTGGTAACTCCAGAGCTCTAATCTACCTGTAACTCCAGAGCTTCTATATCTACCTGGTAACCCAGACTTCTATATCTCCTGTTAAATCAGAGCTTCTATATCTATCTGGGAACTCCAGAGCCTTATATCTATCTGGTAACTCCAGAGCCTCTATATCTACCTGATAACTCCAGAGCTTCTATACTACCTGATAACTCCAGAGCCTCTATATCTATCTGGTAACTCCCGAGCCTCTATATCTATCTGGTAACTCCAGAGCCTCATATTTTATCTGGTAACTCCAGAGCCTCTATATCTACCTGATAACTCCAGAGCTTCTATATCTACCCGATAACTCCAGAGCCTCTATATCTATCTGGTAACTCCAGGCCTCTATATCTATCTGGTAACTCCAGAGCCTCTATATCTACTGGTAACTCCAGAGCCCTTTTATATCTACCTGATAATCCAGAGCTTCTATATCTACCTGGTAACTCCAGAGCTTCTATATCTACCTGGTAACTCCAGAGCTTCTATATCTACCTGGTAACTCCAGAGCTTCTATATCTATCTGGTAACTCCAGAGCCTCTATATCTATCTGGTAACTCCAGAGCCTCTATATCTACCTGATAACTCCAGAGCTTCTATATCTACCTGATAACTCCAGAGCCCTCTATATCTACTGGTAACTCCAGAGCCTCTATATCTATCTGGTAACTCCGAGCCTCTAAACTCCTGGAACTCCAAGCCTCTATATCTACGTAACTCCAGGCCTGTACATCTGGTAACTCCCAGAGCCTCTATATCTACCTGGTAACTCCAGAGCCTCTATATCTATCCCGGTAACTCCAGAGCCCCTATATCTATCTGTAACTCCAGAGCCTCTATATCTATCTGGTAACTCCAGAGCCTCTATATCTATCTGGTAACTCCAGAGCCTCTATATCTATCTGGTAACTCCAGAGCCTCTATATCTACCTGGTAACTCCAGAGCCTCTATATCTATCTGGTAACTCCAGAGCTCTATATCTACTGGTAAATCCAGAGCCTCTATATCTATCTGGTAACTCCAGAGCCTCTATATCTATCTGGTAACTCCAGAGCCTCTATATCTATCTGGTAACTCCAGAGCCTTATATCTATCTGGTAACTCCAAGCCTCTATATCTATCTGGGAACTCCAGAGCCTCTATATCTATCTGGTAACTCCAGAGCCTCTATATCTACCTGGTAACTCCAGGCCTCTATATCTACCCGGTAACTCCCGAGCCTCTATATCTATCTGGTAACTCCAGAGCCTCTATATCTATCTGGTAACTCCAAGCCTCTATATCTACCCGGGAACTCCAGAGCCTCTATATCTACCTGGTAACTCCAGAGCCTCTATATCTATCTGGTAACTCCAGAGCCTCTATATCTATCTGGTAACTCCAGAGCCTCTATATCTATCTGGTAACTCCAGAGCCTCTATATCTACCTGGTAACTCCAGAGCCTCTATATCTACCCTGGTAAAATCCAGAGCCTCTATATCTAACCCGGGAACTCCAGAGCCTCTATATCTAAACCCGGTAACTCCAGAGCCCTTATATCTACCTGGTAACTCCAGAGCTTCTATAATTCCTTAACCTGGTAACTCCAGAGCCTCTATATCTACCTGGTAACTCCAGAGCCTCTATATCTACCTGGTAACTCCAGAGCCTCTATATCTACCTGGTAACTCCAGAGCCTCTATATCTACCTGATAACTCCAGAGCTTCTATATCTACCTGGTAACTGTAATTCTCACTTACATTAAATCACTGAATGTGTCCACATCATGTTAATATACTAGAATCCTCATTACCTATAATCATGATAAAACCTGTAATTCTTTAAACAAACTTCATGAAAGCCATGTAGTACTACATGTATTCATTGCACTACATGTATTCATTGTACATGTATTCATTGTACACATGTATCATTGTACTCTGTATTCATTGCACTACATGTATTCATTGTAATGTATTCATTGTTTCTACATGTATCATTGTACTCATGTATTCTTGCACTACATGTATTCATTGCACTACATGTATTCATTGCACTACATGTATTCATTGCACTACATGTATTCATTGTACTACATGTATTCATTGTACTACATGTATTCATTGTACTACATGTATTCATTGTACTACATGTATTCATTGTACTACATGTATTCATTGCACTACATGTATTCATTGTACTACATGTATTCATTGTACTACATGTATTCATTGTACTACATGTATTCATTGTACTACATGTATTCATTATAGTACATGTATTCATTGCACTACATGTATTCATTGTAGTACATGTATTCATTGTAACTCACCTCATAACCTTACGTAGAAATTTACTGCACTGTTATTGTCTTATTAATCTTAAGTTAGTCTTAGGTTTGGCCAAAATGCTCTGCATATAAAGAGGTTTTTCGCATGTACACCCAAATGTTATACTCCAGAGTACAAACATGTATCGTGCTAAAATAAAACTATCATTATTATTATTATTATTATTCAACCGCCCAGGGAGGTACTACCGTCCTGCCAAGTGAGTGTAAAACTGAAGCCTGTAATTGTTTTACACGATGGTAAGATTGCTAGTGTCTTTTTTTATCTGTCTCATACACATGCAAGATTTCAGGTATGTCTTGCTACTTCTACTTACACTTAGGTCACACTACACATACATGTACAAGCATATATATACACACCCCTTTGGGTTTTCTTCTATTTTCTTTCTAGTTCTTGTTCTTGTTTATTTCCTCTTACCTCCATGGGGAAGTGGAACAGAATTCTTCCTCCGTAAGCCATGCGTGTTGTAAGAGGCGACTAAAATGCCGGGAGCAAGGAGCTAGTAACCTCTTCTCCTGTATATATTACTAAATGTAAAAGGAGAAACTTTCGTTTTTCCTTTTGGGCCACCCCGCCTCGGTGGGATACGGCCGGTGTGTTGAAAGAAAGAAAGATTATTATTATTATTATAATGATATAGACAATACAGAAGATTCTCAGTGTGTTTACAAGTGGAGGAGTTATTGTGTACAGTACTAAAAAAGACAGCACTACTAACTAGAGAGAAGAGTGAGCATTGTTGGCACTTGTTGAGAGAGGAGTCGTCGCAGCTCTGTACGTCGGGAGTACGACAGTTCTTCGCGAGGACAAGCCAACTCCTCGCTGATTGTTTGAAGAAACACAATACACAACACCACAGTGTCAGGACTTCTTGATAACTGTAACAATATCAAATTCAGATTAAAAAAGGATATAGAAAAGTACAGACAGGCCTTGTTTTACAGCGTTTCACTTTACAGCGTTTTGCAAGTGCAGTGGTTTTCAATTATACCCAGTCTTTACTTATCCAGACTTATGTTCTAAATTACTAGACATGTGCACATCAGAATTTATTTCTAGGAACAACCTTTGCACTTGCAACAAATGCAATAAGATCATAGTATACAGGTGATGTCACAATAAGCAAAACGACCACTGTGAAAAAATAGTGAAATTCCAAGCACTTGGAATTTCACTATTTCTCAACTTAATGGGAAAATGATCTTTTTTTCACTGAAATTCAAAGAAATTCGCAAGAGCAAATCAATACACCAGGACACATTACCAGAGTATTTTCACAACTACTGTATGATTCTAAACAAGATGTACAGTAGAACCCCCGTATCCGATGATCCGGTATCTGCAGTTTGTTATCTACTGTTCACTGTGGTTCAAAAATACCTCTTAATTTTGCATAATAATAGCCCCAAAACACAAAAGTAGTGATGGTGACAGTTGTTCAACGTCTAAGAGAAGTTGTGAAGTTCTTCCCCTCATTGAAAAAGTGATAATTCTCCACTTCTGCATAATTTATCAGTTAAACATTATAATATTTTTTTCTTTTAACAAGTCGGCTGTCTCCCACAAAGGCAGGGTGAGCCAAAAAGAAAGAAAATCCCCAAAAAGAAAATACTTTCATCATCATTCAACACTTTCACCTCACTCACACATAATCACTGTTTTTGCAGAGGTGCTCAGAATACAACAGTTTAGAAGCATATACGTATAAAGATACACAACATATTCTTCCAAACTGCCAATATCCCAAACCCCTCCTTTAAAGTGCAGGCATTGTACTTCCCATTTCCAGGACTCAAGTCCAGCTATATAAAAATAACTGGTTTCCCTGAATCCCTTCACTAAATATTACCCTGCTCACACTCCAACAGCTCGTCATGTCCCAAATACTATTCGTCTCCATTCACTCCTATCGAACACACTCACGCAGCCTTGCTGGAAGTCCAAGCAGGCGTTTGGACTGCCAGTTGTGGGGTTCTGGGGGTGGTTGTGTGTGTGTTCTTGCGCTTGTTGCTCTGCCCAGCTCTGGTTGTCCCACAAAACCTCCCTTTCCCCTTCCTTCCAACCTTTTCGAGGATGACCCCTACCCCGCCTTCCTTTCCCTACAGATTTATACGCTCTCCATGTCATTCTACTTTGATCCATTCTCTCTAAATGACCAAACCACCTCAACAACCCCTCTTCAGCCCTCTAACTAATACTTTTATTAACTCCACACCTTCTCCTAATTTCCACGCTCCGAATTTTCTGCATAATATTTACACCACACATTGCCCTTAGACAGGACATCTCCACTGCCTCCAGCTGCCTCCTTGCTGCTGCATTCACAACCCAAGCTTCACACCCATATAAGTGTTGGTACTACTATACTTTCATACATTCCCTTCTTTGCCTCCATAGATAGCATTTTTTGTCTCCACACATACCTCAATGAATGTATGTACAGGACTTATACAGTGTTTGCTACTATCCAAGGTTTCGGTATCCACGGCAGGTCCTTGGAACACATCCCCTGCGGATACGGGCGCGTCCTATTCTACATTATTTATAAATAAGACACTTGTGCAACATTCAGGTATCTTTATTTGGGTATCATCTTTATTTGAGTATCATCTTTATTGCATATCATCTTTACTTGGGTATCAACTTTACCTGGCTATCATTTTTACCTGGGTATCTTCATTTGAGTATCTTTATTCTCCCGAACATTGCAAAAATATCTCGGTTATCAACAAAACATTAATTTTCTCTGCCTATTCCTGGTTAACTGAGAATCAGATGCAAATTAAGATTAATTTTCCAAAATAAAGAAATAGAATAAACAAATAAGTTATAACCAAATTTTTTATGAGACTATTATAAATTTTCACAATACTACTTACAGACAAGACATTAGTGAAGAAATCGGGATAGAAGTGAGGCCAGGAAAGCCGTGCAATATCAACGACCAGCTTGACCAATTTGTTCCGAATGTAGTAGGGGGCAACCTTGTGATTTTCTAAAACAAACCTATACAAGGTGGAGCGTATCTCTGTTCTTTCTTCTGGCATCAGCCCCACCCACTGTTTGTTTATGATGTTCTGAAAATAATACCGGTTAGAACCCTTCCTCTGTAAACCATGTGTGTTGTAAAAGGTGACTAAAATGCCGGGAGCAAGGGGCTTTTAACTTAACATACAAATAACAATGGAATACCATTAAAATTGAAGAAATTTGTTAATATTAATTTTTTTTTTCAACAAACCAGCTGTTTAGAAAGGGTGACCCTGAAAAAAAGAAGAAACACTTTACCATCACTCATTCAATGACTACTAACCCTGTCTCAGTGAGATATGGCCATCTTTAAAGCTAAGTTACTCATTAACTATAGATATTAAGAAGCTCCTACAAGTGATTTATACTGCCATAAAAGTACAGTAAACCCTAGATGTATCAGACTAATAGGGAGAAGTGGGTTGGTAGTACAGTGGACCCCCGCATAACGATGGCATCACATAGCGATTAATCCGCATACCGCTTACTTTAATCGCAAAAATTTTGCCTCACATACCGATTAAAAACCCGCTCACCGATTTTCGTCCGAGACGCGTCCAATGTGCGGCCTGAGCCACGCTCACATGTTCCGCCGGTGGCATTGTTTACCAGCCAGCCTCCGCGGTAACATCCAAGCATACAATCGGAATATTTCGTATTATTACAGTGTTTTCGGTGCTTTTTCTGGAAAATAAGTGACCATGGGCCCCAAGAAAGCTTCTAGTGCAACCCTACAGCAATAAGGGTGAGAATTACAATAGAGATGAAGAAAAAGATCATTGATAAGTATCGCTACTATTGGTGGTACAGCTGCTGCTGCTGCACTGTCAGCTGCTGCTGATGCTGTTAGCATCGTCTGCTGCTGCTGCTGTAGCATTGTCTGTTGCTGCTGTACCACCGTCTGTTGCTGCTGCTGCTGTGCACCGTTGTTGGTGTGGCTTATTGAGAATACCAAGAAACAATTAACTCCAGAGGATTTGCCACCCAGGATAACCCAAAAAGTCAGTGTCATCGAAGACTGTCTAACTTATTTCCATTGGGGTCCTTAATCTTGTCTCCCAGGATGCAACCCACACAAGTCGACTAAACACCAGGTGAACAGGGAAAAATGCCTGGAACTAGTGCTCATATTGGTGAATTTAAAGCCAGCAAAGGTTGGTTTGAGAGATTTAAGAATCGTAGTGGCATACACAGTGTGATAAGGCATGTTCTGGAAAGAAAATGCCAAAAACAGGACCTACAGTACTCAGGAGGAAAAGGCACTCCCAGGACACAGTGTCTCATCAGCCCATTGCGGGCATCTTCAATAAAGGTAAGTGTCATTTATTCTTCTTTTAGTAGCTAGTACATGCACAATATATTACTGTGCATGTACTACTCTACTATTGTGCATGTTTTCCTTCTCTTTGTGTGTGGGAAAATGTATATTTCATGTGGTAAAATTTTTTTTTTCATACTTTTGGGTGTCTTGCACGGATTAATTTGATTTCCATTATTTCTTATGGGGAAAATTCATTCGCATACCGATTATTTCGCATAACAATTACCCCTCTTGCACGGATTAAAATCGTTAACCGGGGGTCCACTGTACCAGCAATTGTGGTGGACAGAAGCTTTGCCTTGCTGTGATTGTAACAATAGACAACTATATAACCAATGGACTTTGTCCGATGTTTCCAAATCAACTACCCCAGCAAATTATATCCCATATTTTGGATGTTCTCCATGGGGAAGCGAAAAGAATTCTTCCTCCGTGAGCCATGTGTGTCATAAGAGGTGATTAACATGCCAGGATCAAGTAGCTAGTAACTCCTCCTCTTTTATACATTACTAAATTTAAAAAGAAAAATTTTCGTTTTTATTTTTACATCACCCTGCCTTGGTAGGATATGGCCAGTGTGTTAAAAAAAAAAATGTAAATCTATTAAATTGAGGTCCACTAAACAACGGGACCACTGATCATTCTCATGGAGCATTGGCTGGGTAGTGAAAGTGAGGCATTAGGCAGTGATTGAAGCAGAAGAGATAGAGGAGGAGAAGGATAAGCAGAGCAGCAGCAGCAGGGAAACAAAACAAGACAAACAACTTTGTGTAGTTTACATGTAATATTGTTAAACACCAAGAAAGCCACTAACATGCATGAGTATTTCAGGCAGACTATTATTAATGTTTACACACTACTTGAGATTAGACATAGGTAAACCAAACCATACCACAGGCAGGGTTAGAACCCACGATCGGAGAGTCTTAAAACTCCAGACCAATGCGGTCTGGACTGTGGTGTGGTTTGCTGGCAATCGTGTTATAATGATTTCATGAGTCTAACTGACTCGTGATACTGATATAGACATAGGTTACTGGTAAATTTTAATTATGTATTATTAGAAAAACAGAGATAGCAAAAATAGTATCCCGTATCTGCAGATTTGGTTTCTGCGGTTTCAGTTATCCGTGGTTTACCGTGGCCTGAAAATAAGCCTTAATTTTGCTTAATATTGATGGGGATAAAGTACAAAAGTAGTGATGGTGACAGATGTTCAAAGTCTAAGAGAAGTTGTGAAGTTCTTCCCATCAGTGAAAAAGTGATAATTCTCCACTTATTGTGCACAATTTATCAATTAAACTTTATCATAGCTATGTATGTAAATGAAAAACAACTTAAATACAGTGTTTGCCAATACAGTGGACCCCCGCATAGCGACTTTAATCCGTGCAAGAGGGCCGATTGTTATGCGAAATGTTCGGTATGCGAATGAATTTTCCCCATAAGAAATAATGGAAATCAAATTAATCCGTGCAAGACACCCAAAAGTATGAAAAAAAAAATTTTTCCACAGAAATTTACATTTTCCTACACCAAGAAAAGGATCAGAAAATAGTGAGTAGTACTGCACAATTATTTGTGCAGACATTCTACTAAATGAAGAAAAATGACATTACCTTTATTAAGAGCAGCAGGGAGATGGACACTGTTCTGGGGTCCCCTTTTCCCTCCTGAGTACGTGGGTCCTGTTTGGCATTTTTTTTTCCAAAAACAGGCCTTATACATGTGTATGCCACTACGATTTTTAAAATTCTCAAACCAACCTTTGCTGGTTTAAAAATTCCCAATATGAGCACTAGTTCCAGGCATTTTTCCCTTTCCCTGGGTGTTAGTCACTGGTGTGGGTTGCATCTGGGAGAAAAGATTAAGGACCCTTTGGAAAAAAAGTTGACAGTCTTCGATGACACTGATTTTTTTGGGTTTACCCGGGGTGGCAAATCCTCGGGGGTTTTTGTTTTTTGGTTTCTCAATAAGCCAACCAACAAGGGTGTAAGCAGCAGCAGCAGCTGAGGTGGTACAGCAGCAAGACGATGCTACACAGCAACGACGATGCTCAGCAGCGCAGACGATGCTCAGCAGCACAGACGATGCTACGCAGCAGAACGATGCTACGCAGCGAGACGATGCTACAGAGCGCAGACATGCTCAGCGCAGCGCGATGTCAGCAGCAGCAGTATGCTACAAGCAGCAGAGACATGCTACAGCAGCAGCAGCTTTGCTACAGCAGCAGCAGACGTGCTACAGCGCAGAGCGGTATTCAGCAGCACCAGCTGAGGGTGGTACAACACACAGCACAGCTGACAGTGCGCAGCAGCTGCAGGCGCAGAGTGTACCCCAAATAGTAGCATGGTTGAGGGGGTTATTTTAAACCGGGCCAGCCCCCGGGACACGCACTCCACTTTCATACTTATAAATGATTTTTTTTCTTCATCTCTATAGTAATTCCCCCTTTTTGCTGTAGGGTTGGCACTAGAAGCTTTTTGGGGGCCAATGGTCCTTTTTTCCAAAAAAACACCAAAACACTGTAAAAATACAAAAATTTCCCCATTGTTTTTGGGGGATGTTCCGCGGAGGGGCGGGTAAAAAATCCCACGGCGGAACTGTAGGTGGCTCGGGCCGCACATTGGAACGGTCTGGGACGAAGGGGTGAGGGTTTTTGGGGCGGTATGCGGGAAAATTTTTGCGAAAAAAACGAGGGGGTATGCGGATTTACGGTATGCGATGCATGGGGTATGGGGGGGGTCCTTATTTGCGTTTTGGTATCCATGGAGTTCTTGGAACATACACTAGGGAAACCCGGCCCACTACGTATATATTATCTACAGGGGAACCTCTATTATAGGCATCACGTGTGGTTTTTCCAGATACAGCAGTGCTTGGTCGTTTTTTGTTTCCAGAGCAGCGAATTTTTCCAATGTGAGCGGGCCCTAAAGGGGGGGGTTAATTGACACTGTGAGGGGGCTCTTGCTTTTGACGGGGAAATTGGTTCTCAGTTTTTTGTTGGACTTTTTATTGAAATTGGGAAGTTTTGAAAAGTGTTCTTAACGTAACTAAAATAAAGAAAGGGGCTTTTAAAAAAGGGTTCACTTCTCACCTTTAGCCCCCTTGGGGAAATTTTTTAGGTTTTTTTGGGTTGCATTCTCTTTTTTTTTTGGTTCATGTATGAATGGAAATATCAACAAAAATAAATGTTTTTTAATTGGTTTCATGTGAAAGTACATGGCCCTCGAAAACGATATTTTTTTAATTTCGAGTTGTTCGGTGCCATTACCGACCAAATTTGTTCACTTTGGGAATATTTGAAATGATTAGCCCTTTTTCAGCCCCCAAAAAAATTTCACGTACAAAAGCATTTACAAAAATACACTTACATAACTGGTCGATTGGGGAGTGTTCGTTAGTCGAGGGTCCCTGCCCTTAAAATTGAGCCCTATAAACCCCAACAAAAAGGGCCCCTGCTGTCACCCCCACTAGCCACATACCTAATGACAGGGGGTTTTATTCATTTAGTGTATTTTTCAGTTTCTATGTTATTAATATTTTTTATTTTAATTACATGAATAGTGAAGAAAAAAAGTGTAAGTTGTTTTTGGGGAAATTATTAAAGATTTCTCATGCCTGGAATTTCATGGAACAAATTTAATTCCATTTAAATTTAATTTAATGGGGAAAAAACTGACTCTAAAACGAGAAATCCAAGCGGAAAGGTCATGGAAAGGTTTAAATTTGCAAGTAATTTCCCACGTATTTTCAATGAAAAAATAGTTTCTAAGGGGTTTTAGGAGTTAATAAGAAAAAAAAATATAAGAAATGATGTAAACGCTTACTCTAATGTTGTAGGAAAACATGGGACATAAGAATTTGAGTGTGGCAAAATAATATAAATTGTTTCCATGCCCCTCGTGCTGTCCAAAATTTCCTAAATAGTTTTTTCTTTTCCGGGGATTGGTGGTTTAAGAGCCAAAAAAAAAATGTTATTTTCCCTCTAACGCGTAAAGGGTTCTTTAAACTGGCCGTGGGAGGGAAAAAATATTGTTTATTCCCAAAAATGGGAAAAAAATTTTTGATAAGTTTTTAGATAAGGAAAAAAGGTCTTTGTGGCATTTTTGGATTTTGGAAAAGGCGTTGACAGGGGGGATAGGGAGGGAATGTGGCGATGTATGGGGGAGGTGGTTACTAAGCATGAAAGTTTTTAGAGGTATGAGGCTCAATTAAGGGATTAGGGAAAAGGGGAAAATTTTTTCCCCCCGTAAAAGTAGGCCCCTTTAAAAAGGAGGGGTGATGTCACCGGGTTTTTAAAATATTTATAGATGGGTTTAAAAGAAGTAAAAGCGAGGGGCTTGCAAAAGGCGTGGGGTTTAAAAAAAAAAGACACACAAAAAGGGGGTTGTTACAGTTCTCTTTGCTGATGACATGTACTCTTGGGAGATTCGAAAAGTTGCAGAGATTGGTGGTGAAATTTGGTAGGTGTGCAAAAAAAGAAAATTTAAAAGGAATACGGAAAAATAAAGGGTTTAGGATAAAAAAAAAGATTAGGGGGATAAAGATAGGGTTTTAGATTGGAGGGAGAGAGTATGGGGGAGGTGAAAATATTCAGATATTTGGGAGTGGACGTGTCAGCGGATGGTCTATGAAAGATGAGGTGAATCATAGAATTGATGAGGGGAAAAGGGTGAGTGGTGCACTTAGGAGTCTGTGGAGACAAAGAACTTTGTCCTTGGAGGCAAAGAGGGGAATGTATGAGAGTATAGTTTTACCAACGCTCACATATGGGTGTGAAGCATGGGTGATGAATGTTGCAGCGAGGAGAAGGCTGGAGGCAGTGGAGATGTCATGTCTGAGGGCAATGTGTGGTGTGAATATAATGCAGAGAATTCGTAGTTTGGAAGTTAGGAGGAGGTGCGGGATTACCAAAACTGTTGTCCAGAGGGCTGAGGAAGGGTTGTTAAGGTGGTTCGGACATGTAGAGAGAATGGAGCGAAACAGAATGACTTCAAGAGTGTATCAATCTGTAGTGGAAGGGAGGCGGGGTAGGGGTCGGCCTAGGAAAGGTTGGAGGGAGGGGGTAAAGGAGGTTTTGTGTTCGAGGGGCTTGGACTTCCAGCAGGGATGCGTGAGCGTGTTTAATAGGAGTGAATGGAGACAAATGGTTTTTAATACTTGACGTGCTGTTGGAGTGTGAGCAAAGTAACATTTATGAAGGGGTTCAGGGAAACCGGCAGGCCGGACTCGAGTCCTGGAGATGGGAAGTACAGTGCCTGCACTCTGAAGGAGGGGTGTTAATGTTGCAGTTTAAAAACTGGAGTGTAAAGCACCCTTCTGGCAAGACAGTGATGGAGTGAATGATGGTGAAAGTTTTTCTTTTTCGGGCCACCCTGCCTTGGTGGGAATCGGCCAGTGTGATAAAAAAAAAAAAATGAAAAATTAAATTTAGTACAGGAATAATACACGTGTTCCACTAGATGAACAACAACAACACTTAGTTCAGGTATAATACAAGACACAATGAGATGTTCGATAAAGAAGAATGGATTAAAAGTTAAATAAATGAAGAAAAAATTAGGTAAAAATTAAAAACTGCTCCTAGGTGGATTTTAGTGATGAAATATAGTTTAATTGGTACAATACTGAGTGAGCTTTACATTAAAAATAGTGGTTTTACATTAGAAATAGTCAGTTCAGAGAACTGACTTGTCGGTTCTCTTAACTGTTCATGTACAATCCTGTCTGACACTGCAACTTCTTGGGAATTCTTCGCTTGCCTAACCCTTAGGCACGACCTACTTCCACACTGGACAAATGTGTTACCACCTACGACTGCTGCACCTCATCATCTGCCTACAGTATATAAGCCACTTCTTCACACATATGCTGTACTCTTTTGAAGATTGGAGGACTGATTACATCGACTCAAGGCTGAGGGACTGATTACCTCACACTCCTCATGTTCTTCATGATTCTCCTTTGTATGGACTGATGAAGCCACTGTGTGGCGAAACATTTCCTCATTAAAGATACCCCAGTGTTGCACATGTGTCTAATTTATCATCTTAAGTTTCATCTCCAAAGTAAATGTTCCCACACCATCATAAAGTTGAAATATCCTAAGTCGAACCATTGTAAATTGAGGAGCACCTGTACACATAGTACCCTACACAGGAGTGAATGGAGACGAATGTTATTTGGGACCTGATGAGCTGTTGGAGTGTGAGCAGGGTAATATTTAGTGAAGGGATTCAGGGAAACCGGTTATTTTTATATAGCTGGACTTGAGTCCTGGAAATGGGAAGTACAATGCATGCACTTTAAAGGAGGGATTTGGGATATTGGCAGTTTGGAAGGATATGTTGTGTATCTTTATACGTATATGCTTCTAAACTGTTGTATTCTGAGCACCTCTGCAAAAACAGTGATTGTGTGAGTGAGGTGAAAGTGTTGAATGATGATGAAAGTATTTTCTTTTTGGGGATTTTCTTTCTTTTTTGGGTCACCCTGCCTCGGTGGGAGACAGCCGACTTGTTGAAAAAAATATATATATACATGTATATAGTATAATAATTATGAAACTGTCCTGGAGCTGGATCACTAGCACACTCAGCTCACAAACTGAGGTACGGGGATCGATCCCAGGAATGGCTGGAAAACATTAGATGTGCTTCCATACAACACTTGCCGTCACTGTTCAACTATGCGTAAAATAGGTACCCGGGTGTTAATGGACTGGTGTGGGTCGCATCCTGGAACAAAACTGACCTAATTTGTCCAAAATGCTCTGCATAACAAGCGGCTTTCTATTTAGTAGCATGTCACTGATGTCAGTGACATGCTATGGTCTGTATATCTTGTATATGTACTGGTAGAAATAAAGATATTATTATTGTATACCTGACACCTCAACAAACATTGAAAATAAAGGCAGTAACAATATAATTTGCTTGATGGATTTTGTCCATTGTATTTCAAATCTACACATACAACCCACACACAGGAAACTGAAGCTTATAGCGATGTATTGGTTCGATTTGGACTGAAACAGGTACACACAAATAGTTACAAATTATCATACATAGTAACATATAGTATATAGAAATTACCCTCCAGGATGATATAAAGAGTCAAAGTGACTTATTTCCACTGAGGTCATTGTGCGGATTATTTGTGTACTAACCATACCCCGGCCGGGATTGAACCCGCGGTCAGAGAGTCTCATAACTCCAGACCACCGCGTTAGCCACTAGACCAGCTAGCCACAATAAGATTCGTCCAACTAGGTATATTTCTACACCATAGGAAGGTTAGCATAGGCACCACTGTGACCACAAATGCAAGTTTTTACAGACGAATCTCCAGCTAGCGTGGCCGTGACGAACTTTAGCTCAAGTCCCCTCACTGCCGTCAACATGACTCACGAAATCGTAATGACACGATTGCAAACAAACCATACTCCGGTCGGGATTGAACCCGCGGTCAGAGAGTCTCAAAACTCTAGACCGTCGCGTTAGCCACTAGACCAGCTAGCCACAATAAGATTCGTCCAACTAGGTTGGACTTGAGCTAGAGTTCGTCACGGCCACGCTAGCTGGAGATTCGTCTGTAAAAAACTTGCATTTGTGGTCACAGTGGTGCCTACGGTAACCTTCCTATGGTGTAGAAATATACCTAGTTGGACGAATCTTATTGTGGCTAGCTGGTCTAGTGGCTAACGCGACGGTCTGGAGTTTTGAGACTCTCTGACCGCGGGTTCAATCCCAGCCGGGGCATGGTTTGTTTGCAATCATGTCATTATGATTTCGTGAGTCTTATTTGTGTACTGTTCCAGTTACAGTATTATGCATTTTTATTTTCTATATTTACCATTATTAAACAGCACAATGAAGTACCGTTCTGCAAATCACCAGCTTCCCCACAAGTATATTCAGCTAGCTCCTGAAAATGCAAAAATATTGAAACTTAAAAGGCAATAATGATGATGATAATAATAATAATAATAATAATAATAATAATAAATAATAATAATAATAATAAATAATAATAATAATAATAATTAATACAGCCTCCCCTCACTTAGTGACGTACTCATTTACCGACAGCTCGGACTTACAACAGGCTCTCTGACCAGCATGCATACCTAAATAATGTATATTAGAGCTGATTTCCTCTATTCTGTTTATTACAGTATGCAGTACACTACTGTATTAACATTTAAAACTACGTATACTAAAAATGTTATAAATGGCACAAAGGTGACAAAAAAAAAATATCAAAGATGGCTGACACAAACCCACTACCATTAAAGTACGCTCCTCACTTTTTGACGAATTCGTTTACCAACATGGTCTTTGGAACGAAACTCAAGTCATTAAGTGAGGAGAGGCTGTAATAATAATGTTTGTACAGAGATGGGTAACATTTTGTGCAGACTAATACTAATGCTGACACATTATTGTCTTACGACAAAACATAGGTTATGGAGCAGTAAATTTTCATTATGTATTATAAAAAAAGATATAGCAACAATATTATAAACATTATCTACACGTATGTGGCTATGTATGATAATTTAGGTAACTGTATTTGTGTGTACCTGAATAAACTCATACTTACGAACATTAAGGATATACAATTACATGTACGAATTTTTGGTATACATGTACAGTCAATTCTCTATCAATATATCGCTAGTTAAATTATTTTATTAAATTACTGAATACCTATAATTAGTCTGCCCGAAATGTACCGGATATTAATGCTTTTATTTTTTGCCTAATTTTATTACATGTAAACTGTATTGAACCACCTCGGGAGGGGGGGGATTTAGGCTCCATTTGGGGAACCGGAGCATCGTTCCAGTTCCCCTGATTAAGAGCCCCTCACTAGCTGTCCCCTCTAGGGAGACAGCTAGTGTGGACACGCGTCACGCCTGGCAGTAAGGTACAACCATCAACTATGGGGGCTACCCATTTTTCCTGGCTTCCCCTGGGTTATTAACCCAGTGGCTGGCATAATAAGCATGAAAATAAACAAATCTCAGCTTTTTCCACCGTTTATTACCCAAATTACGGCAAACATGACAAACAAAACAATTAACTTGTGTAAGTAAGTAAAGTCTGGAAAGTAATGACCATGTTTAAAAGTAAGTAAAGTAATGACCATGTTTAAAAGTAAGTAAAGTAATGACCATGTTTAAAAGTAAGTAAAGTAATGACCATGTTTAAAAGTAAGTAAAGTAATGACCATGTTTAAAAGTAAGTTAAGTAATAACCATGTTTAAAAGTAAGTAAAGTAATGACCATGTTTAAAAGTAAGTAAAGTAATGACCATGTTTAAAAGTAAGTTAAGTAATAACCATGTTTAAAAGTAAGTAAAGTAATGACCATGTTTAAAAGTAAGTAAAGTAATGACCATGTTTAAAAGTAAGTAAAGTAATGACCATGTTTAAAAGTAAGTTAAGTAATGACCATGTTTAAAAGTAAGTAAAGTAATGAATGCATTTAAAAGTAAGTAATGAAAGTAAGTAAAATAATGTAAGTAATGCAAGTAAAGTAATGTAAGTAAAGTATGCAATGTAAGTAAAGTAAGTAATGTAAGTAAAGTAAGTAATGTAAATTAAGTAATGTAAATTAAGTAATGTAAATAAAGTAATGTAAATAAAGTAAGTAATGTAAGTAAAGTAAGTAAATTAAGTAAGGTAAATACAGTACGTAAAATAAGTAAGTAATGTAAGTAAAGTAAGTAAATTAAGTAATGTAAATACAGTAAGTAAAATAAGTAAGTTATGTAAGTAAAATAAGTAAGTAATGTAAGTAAAATAATGAACGTCTTTAAAAGTAATATAATTAAAGTTTTTAAAAGTAATTTAACCACACAAACATAATTAACAACCATAATAAAGTAATTAAATAATGGAAAAACATTAAATTTAAGCCATAAAGATATTTTAAGATAATAAAATATGTTAAATATTGTTATTGTTGATAAAAGACGAAGATGTAATAACCCAGAAATATTACATTATATGTCTTATATCAGACTCTGAGTGTAATATAACATACGTAGGTGTTAAATGTGTGTGTTAACGGCGGGAATAACATGTTAAATACTACCTGGAGGGGTAAATGAGGGAGACATTTTGGTCAACAACAAACCTCCACCATCTTATATTATTAACTGACTTTTTCTTTATTTTTGATTTATTACTTTATTTCGCTTCTTACTCAATTATTTGTTATTTATTTCGTCGTTAAAACTATACGTTAATGACTTAATAAATGTGTTAATGATGTTAGATAATGTAGATAATATCTGCTATAATAAATACTATATAAAACTTAGAATTTTTTTTATATATAGGTTGTTTTTGGATAAATTAATTATTAACATGAATTTTGGGATTAATTTTAATGTAGAAATTAGAGAAATAAGTGAAGTATACGTAATAAAATAATATTTTAGGCTTATCGAAAAAAAAATCATAGTGATGCTGGGATTTTCTAGGTAAGGAAAAACACATATATAAAATATATTTTAAAATACAAATATGTTTTTTAAAAATCGATGTATATTATAGTAGTTTTTGGGTATTTTTTATATTTTTTTCGTAGTGATGTGGGGATTTTCAATGTAGAGAAAAATAGAGATATAAGGTCAGTATTAAAGTAAAAATAATTTTTTTTAAATATTGATGCGTTTTATTGTAGTTTTTTGGGTATTTTATATATTTTTCAGTGAGTAATGAATGGTGGGTGTCGGCCGCCATCTTAGTCTCGGTCAAAACAACTTCCTCACTCCTCTTTTATCACCTCTGGTATGTCTCATACCTTTATTATACCCTCTTTATACCCCTGGGTATGTTGCTACTGCTGCTGCCCTGGTTATACCCGGGTATAATGCCAGGTGGCAGGTGTAGCCAGGTAGATATTGCTATGATATTGTCTACCTCCTTCCCTGTCTCTGGCTGGTAATTATTGTCCAGGATGACTAATAGGCCTATTTAGGCCTATGTTCTATATATAATTGGGGTTTCTGTAGGCCTATTTAACTGACAGGAGTCTTGGTATAACGTCGGTGTTGACGCTTTGGTGAACATGAGTAGCACTGCAGGAGGCCTACTGGCCCAGGCTAGGCAGGTCTAACTCACACTGGTGACCTGGTGGCTCAGGTTCCCACTTCACACACGGAGGACCCGGGTTCGATTCCCGGCGGGTGGAAACATTTCGACACGTTTCCTTACACCTGGGTGTTAGTGGACTGGTGTGGGTGGCATCCTGGGTGTTAGTGGACTGGTGTGGGTGGCATCCTGGGTGTTAGTGGACTGGTGTGGGTGGCATCCTGGGTGTTAGTGGACTGGTGTGGGTGGCATCCTGGATGTTAGTGGACTGGTGTGGGTGGCATCCTGGGTGTTAGTGGACTGGTGTGGGTGGCATCCTGGGTGTTAGTGGACTGGTGTGGGTGGCATCCTGGTGTTAGTGGACTGGTGTGGGTGGCATCCTGGTGTTAGTGGACTGGTGTGGGTGGCATCCTGGATGTTAGTGGACTGGTGTGGGTGGCATCCTGGGTGTTAGTGGACTGGTGTGGGTGGCATCCTGGGTGTTAGTGGACTGGTGTGGGTGGCATCCTGGGTGTTAGTGGACTGGTGTGGGTGGCATCCTGGGTGTTAGTGGACTGGTGTGGGTGGCATCCTGGGTGTTAGTGGACTGGTGTGGGTGGCATCCTGGTGTTAGTGGACTGGTGTGGGTGGCATCCTGGGTGTTAGTGGACTGGTGTGGGTGGCATCCTGGGTGTTAGTGGACTGGTGTGGGTGGCATCCTGGGTGTTAGTGGACTGGTGTGGGTGGCATCCTGGGTGTTAGTGGACTGGTGTGGGTGGCATCCTGGGTGTTAGTGGACTGGTGTGGGTGGCATCCTGGGTGTTAGTGGACTGGTGTGGGTGGCATCCTGGGTGTTAGTGGACTGGTGGTGGGTGGCATCCTGGGTGTTAGTGGACTGGTGTGGGTGGCATCCTGGGTGTTAGTGGACTGGTGTGGGTGGCATCCTGGGTGTTAGTGGACTGGTGTCGGTGGCATCCTGGGTGTTAGTGGACTGGTGTCGGTGGCATCCTGGGTGTTAGTGGACTGGTGTGGGTGGCATCCTGGGTGTTAGTGGACTGGTGTGGGTGGCATCCTGGGTGTTAGTCGACTGGTGTGGGTGGCATCCTGGGGGACAAGATTGAGGACCACAATGGAAATAAGTTAGACAGTCCTCGATGACGCACTGACTTTCTTGGGTCATCCTGGGTGGCTAACTCTCCGGGGTTAAAAATCTGAACGAAATCTTATCTTATCTTATCACCCCCACATGTACTTATCTAACCTATTTTTAAAACTACACAAAGTTTCAGCTTGTATGACAGTGCTGCGGAGGTTGTTCCACTCATCCAGAGCTTCCCTATGACCACCCATCAGGAAGGTTCCTTGATGTTGGTGAGGGGCTCTTGATTTAGGGAATTGGATCTGTGCTCCAGTTCCCCAAAATAAGCCTGAATGCCTTCCACATCCCCCCCCAGGCGCTGTATAATCCTATGGGTTTAGCGCTTCCCCTTGATTATAATAATAATAATTCCCTATGACCTTCCTAACTAAACATATATACACTTGAAGAAGTGAATTACTAACATTATTGACCCAAAAAGGTCAGACGAAGCGACTTATTTCCATTCATAATCCCCCCCAAAATGTCATTTATTTCCATTATATCCCGTGGGTTGGTCGGTAGCGCACCTGCCTCTCCCACTCGGGGTTCGGGTTCGGTCCCCGGCACGGGTGGAAATGTTACCTTACACCTGCTGTCATGGGTCACCTAGCAGTAAGTAGGTACCTGGATGTTAGTGGACTGGTGGCATCCTGGGCACATAACCAGGTACTACTGTACTTTCTGTATAGTAATGTTATTAATGTCAGCTTTGGTCTGTATAAGTTGTATCATCTGCTGGTGTATTATTATTATTATTATTATTATTATTATTATTATTAATTTCTACTTGTGTAGAAATAAATATTATTATTATTATTATTAATTTCTACTGGTGTAGAAGTAAGCATTATTATTATTATTATTATTATTATTATTATTATTTATTAATTTCTACTGGTCTAGAAATAAATATTATTATTATTATTATTATTATTATTATTATTATTTCTACTGGCGTAGAAATAAATATTATGCTAAAAAGTTGAGAACATTAATTACCTTTTATCGTACTGTCCCATTTTTGAGATTGGAGTCCTATTATTAAATCGCATTGTTTTGCAATTATTTATACGTATATGTATACTATAGTATATGTATTTTGGAGTGAACTCGTAATTAAAAAATATATTCATGGATATATTCATCAATAATCTGAACTCGTACAACCATTTTGAAACGGCTTTAGAATTCCAATTAACCGAGGATCACTGAAACAGTTTAGAGCATTAATACGTATTTAAAATTGTGCTATGGTTTATTTACCTACCTCACTTTTTGTGTATTTAAAAAACTAATAATAAGTAATAATATTTATTTACTACCAGTACATGATACAACTTATACAGACCATAGCTCACACCAATGACATATTACTATATAGAAAGTCACTTTTTATGCTGAGCATTTCCCGCAAATTATGTCAGTTTTGTCCCAGGATGCGACCCACACCAGTCCACTAACACCCAGGTACCTACTTACTGCTAGGTGAACATGGACAACAGGTGTAAGGTAACTAACACCCAGGTACCTACTTACTGCTAGGTGAACATGGACAACAGGTGTAAGGTAACTAACACCCAGGTACCTACTTACTGCTAGGTGAACATGGACAACAGGTGTAAGGTAACTAACACCCAGGTACCTACTTACTGCTAGGTGAACATGGACAACAGGCATAAGGTAACTAACACCCAGGTACCTACTTACTGCTAGGTGAATATGGACAACAGGTGTAAGATAACTAACACCCAGGTACCTACTTACTGCTAGGTGAATATGGACAACAGGTGTAAGGTAACTAACACCCAGGTACCTACTTACTGCTAGGTGAACATGGACAGCAGGTATTTTATGTAAACACATCGTAATGTTACATTATGTATTCTGCAGAAAGAGATATGGTTTAATTAATGTGTGGTATTGTCCTCCTCCAGAACCAAAATCATCTTCATTGATGTCACATTTCATCGACTCAGAGGCAGAGGAAAGTGAGGAGGAGGAGGAAGAATATGAGGAAAGTGAGAAGAAAAAATTGAAGAAGCTTAAGGCCATACAGGACTCGTCTGAAGAGGAAGACGAAGATGGTAATTGGCGGTTGATGCTTTGTAGTCTAGTACAGGAAGGCCTCGACTTAATAATGATGACATAACACAATGTGTGGGGGGGGGGGGGCATGGCCTTGGTTTGTTGCGCTAATGGTTTCCCATCTTCGGTACAGGAACATGTTTATATAATACGTATTTGTGTTTGCAGTGCAGCCAGGTTTCAGTTTGTGCAAATTTTGATTTAATGCAAACTTAATTAGTATTAGTTTTTTACCACCAGACTTGTCAAATCGTGCGCAGAAATTACATATTCGAATAGTGCGACCATCCCATGGCATACATCATTCACATTAATCTAGACCCAGCTGTATTTAAAAACCTAACTGTATTTAAAGCCCTAGCTATATTTAAAGCCCTAGCTATATTTAAAGCCCTAACTGTATTTAAAGCCTTAACTGTATTTAAAGACCTAACTATATTTAAAGCCCTAACTGTATTTAAAGACCTAACTGTATTTAAAGACCTAACTGTATTTAAAGCCCTAACTGTATTTAAAGCCCTAACTGTATTTAAAGACCTAACTGTATTTAAAGACCTAACTGTATTTAAAGCCCTAACTGTATTTAAAGACCTAACTGTATTTAAAGCCCTAACTGTATTTAAAGCCCTAACTGTATTTAAAGCCCTAACTGTATTTAAAGCCCTAACTGTATTTAAAGACCTAACTGTATTTAAAGCCCTAACTGTATTTAAAGACCTAACTATTTAACCCTTTCAGGGTCCAAGGCCCAAATCTGGAGTCACGCACCAGTGTCCAAGAATTTTCAAAAAAAAAATTTGTTATTTTTTCTTATGAAATCGTAGAGAATCTTTTTGTGAAGGTAATAAAACAAAAAGTACGAAATTTGGTGGAAAATTGACAAAATTATGCTCTCGCGAATTTTGATGTGTCAGCGATATTTACGAATCGGCGATTTTTGCCGACTTTGACTCCCATTTTAGGCCAATTACATTATTCCAGTCAACCAAATTCTTAGCTATTTCACTAGTATTACTTCTATTCTATCGATTGAGCACAAGAAATCGCCAAGTCAACTGTTTCAACTACAAATATAAAGTGATCGGAAATTGTTAATTTGGCCAATTTAACACAAAGTTCAAATATTCCAATTTCAAAATTAGGGTCCAGAATGAACAATGTAGGCATTCCTGCACTAAATAACATTTCCTCTGTTCATTAGTTATGTTTTGAGGCTTTACAAATAAATTCCATTTTGATTTTTTATTCACAAAATGAATTTTTATTCACACCAAAAATAGAGATTTACTGTTATGCAATACTGTAATATGTATAAATATCATCACCATATTTGTGAATGTATATTAGACCCACCAGCTGATGTGTATTAGACGTGTGAGGTCGTTTGTTTACTCTTGAATATCGGCAAAAATTTAACATTTCTGCTACTTTGAGCTCAGTTTCAAGCCATTTCCAGTGCTAAAACCAATCAAAATCATCTCTATTTCTGTAATATGTCTTCCATTCTATCAAATGAGACCAAGAAATCGCAAATACAACTATAAAAAACATACGAAAAAACACTGCAAAGTTGCTGTTTTAATCGAAAAATCATGATTTCATTTTTTTTCTCTCATTATACACAATGTGCTGCAGGATCTGTTTTATGTGGTGCACACATACCACATAGATGTATTCTCTCATATCTAGGCCCAAATGTACCACTCACAGTTTATCAGAGTGAGCTGAGCTCATGGCGTAGATCTACGGTTTGGACCCTGAACGTAAAGCCGTAGATCTACGGGACGAACCCTGAAAGGGTTAAAGACCTAACTATTTAAAGACCTAACTATTTAAAGACCTAACTGTATTTAAAGACCTAACTGTATTTAAAGACCTAACTGTATTTAAAGACCTAACTATTTAAAGACCTAACTATTTAAAGACCTAACTACTTAAAGACCTAACTATTTAAAGACCTAACTATTTGAAGACCTAACTATTTAAAGACCTAACTGTATTTAAAGACCTAACTATTTAAAGACCTAACTGTATTTAAAGACCTAACTGTATTTAAAGACCTAACTGTATTTAAAGACCTAACTGTATTTAAAGACCTAACTATTTAAAGACCTAACTGTATTTAAAGACCTAACTATTTAAAGACCTAACTGTATTTAAAGACCTAACTATTTAAAGACCTAACTACTGTATTTAAAGACCTAACTACTGTATTTAAAGACCCAGCTGTATTTAAAGAATTGAAAAGTCAGAATAATGTGGCTGGAACAATGTGCACACAACCCACATTCAGGAGACTGGAACTTATGACTGTACAGTGGACCCCCGGTTAACGATATTTTTTCACTCCAGAAGTATGTTCAGGTGCCAGTACTGACCGAATTTGTTCCCATAAGGAATATTGTGAAGTAGGTTAGTCCATTTCAGACCCCCAAACATACACGTACAAACGCACTTACATAAATACACTTACATAATTGGTCGCATTCGGAGGTGATCGTTATGCGGAAGGGTCCATGTATTTATCTGACTTGTGACTGTTAAGGTCAATGTGACTTTAAAAAAGTTATAATAGCCCAGTGCAACAAACCAGGGAACAAGTGTGCATTTGAACCCGGCGTTGAGTGGTAATAATCCAGCCAGTTAGCCACTTCAGGCAGCTGTCTCTGGTAAGAAATATACCTAGTGGTTGACTTATTGTAGCAGTGGCTGAATTGTAACATTACTGTAGTGTTCAAATTCATCCGTTCCATGTTGAAAGTCATGTACTTACAAGAATGGTACATACTGTGACTGGAACAAACACAAGTACTCACAGCTAGAAGAGCTTACCGAAATTGTTTGTCAGACTGGGCCAAAACGTCGCCATAAGTCGTCTATCCATGTGAGGTTATTTTGACAGCAATCCTCGACTACCAAACACTCGAGCATCTCTGTACTTTGCGTTTAATTCACTGTTATATCATATACACATACAGAAGGTCCCAACATGTTCATAAGTTGAAGACTTTCTGTATTGATTAATATACAATTCAGAGGTCCCCGATGTTTGTAGTCGAGAGAATTTCCTGTATTGTCATGTGACTTGTTATGGTCTAAAATCACTAAAACATTATAGTTGTCTCCTAATGCAGGTTATTTGTGTAAGTTGCATTTGATGCCTCCTTATTATAATTCAGTAAGCCTTCCTCTCTTAGTGACGTACTCGTTTACGACAACTCAGACTAGATGGGCTTGACCAATATCATCTAAATAGTTATTCAGAGCTGATTTATCTATTTTGTTTTTACAGTATGCAGTACCACTGTATAAAATTTAAAAATATTAGAAAGTAGAATGTTGCAGTAGATGACACTAAAAGAATATCTAGATGTTGCACAAACACTACCTTATAATTATGCTCACTATTGCGAGAAGTTCGTTCACGATGAGGTCTAAGGAACGGAACTCGACTTAAATGAGGAGAGGCTGTATTCCATTTTTTCACACTGTTATTTGTGAAGGAATTTCCCAGCATCACTTAGTTGATTGTTATTAATTTACATAAACTGGTTGAATATAGTGAAATTCCAAGTGTTTTTGAGATTTCTCACATTATCAAGCAACAGTTTCTCGATAATGCCAGAAATTACGTAAATGCTTGGAATTTCACTGTTTTTAGCAGTGGTTTTTCAGCATATTAGAAGTGATGTTTCAACATTCCTGCTGAAACATTTCGTATAAATGCCCTCGGCTGTACATGAGCGTCTTATTCCGTATACTGCCAGAATCGTCATACCATTTTTCAGTTTTCTGGTGTATAATTGTTACCTTTCATTGTAAGATTTTTATCCTAGCTGTGTCTGATAGTGTATTTAATTATTATTCAAATCAGATTAGAATTTTATTCCTTCATGTATACAAACTGTAGTTTAAATATAATATGGTATTGTCAAGCACAGAAAAGTCACTAACATACATAAACATTTCTAGCAGACTAATGCTAATGTTTACACAATACTTAAACTAAACATAGATTATGGAATGGTGAATTTTAATTGTGTATTATTACATAAAAGAGGTGGCAAAAATAAAAAAAAAAATTAGAGGGGTTGCAAAAAAAAAAATATTAAAGTTGATACAATTTACAAGAGTACAATTTTAAGTAGGTATTAATGCTTTAAACTGATTTAGTGATCTTAAGTTAATTAGGATTTCTTAAGTAGTTTAAAGCTGTAGTTTCAAACTACTGTCTTTGTCGTGTCTTTTACATGTCTTTTACCACAAATACTCTTTTCGTATCAACAGACGAAGAGAAAATTCGGGAAGAAAATAAAGACTTCATCAACGACGACGAGGAAGAGGAAGACGAGGGTGGCTCTGGGTCCGACAGTGAAGGCGAAGGCAAGCGAAAACGACGGGACGATGACGATGATCTTGAAGGAGACATCCTTGATGACGATGATCTTGATCTCATCGAAGAAAACATTGGTGTTAAACTTGACAGAAAGGTTAGTTCCTCCCTACATTATTAAAATACTCAAAGTTATTCCCTGAAGAGTGTGAAGTATGTTGCACTAGGCCTGGTGTATACCTGGAGGGGGTTTTGGGGGTCAGTGCTCCTGCAGCGCTGTCCTTGACCAGGCTTGGTGGTGGAATCAGGACTTGATCAACCAGGACTGGTGGTGGATCACAGCCTGATCAACCACTCTGTTACTGCTGGCTGCATGTAAACTGATTTATGAACCACAGCCCAGGTGGTCAGGTACTGACTTTAGGTGCCTGTTTAGCTCCCTCTTGAAGACAGCCAGGGTCTTGAAGATAGCCAGAAATCGTGAAGACAGTCAGGGGTCTATTGGTAATCCCCCTTACGTCTTTTAGTGTACTCATGGCATCCCTGATTTTGACTGGGGGATGTTGCACAGATCCCCAATGGATTGTCCAGTATATACCCATAATGGGGCGGGTATTGAGAACTTTTCAAAACAAGGGAAATAATGCCAATGGTGACACTCTTCAAATTGCTAGTGCTCCCTCATTTAGAATATTGCTTAATGCAGGAGAAATATCAGAGCTGGAACAAATACAGTAATTTAGTTGCCAGTAAAGCACCTAAATTACTGGGAGCGGAGGAGAGAGATACATAATGTATACTTGAAAAGTACTTGAGGGCCTGGTCCCAGATCTGTCACACTGCCATAATAACATACTGGAGTGAGAGATATGGGAGGAAGTGCAAAATAAACCCATTGAGGAGCAGAGGTGCAGTGGGGACAATAAGGGAACACTGTATCAACATCCGGGGCCCCAGACTATTCAACATCTTACCAGAAGGTATCAGAACCACAGCTGGAACAAGTGTAGAAGCCTTCAAGACAAAACTGGACAAGTATCTTCACCAGGTGCCAGATCAGCCAGGCTGTGATGGATATGTGGGTCAGCAGGCCTCCAGCAGCAGCAACAGCCTGGTTGACCAGGCAAGCACCAGACTAGTTAGCTACCAGTATGACTTCACCAGTCCTATTAGGTACCAGTATGACTTCACCAGTCCTGTTAGGTACCAGTATGACTTCACCAGTCCTATTAGATACCAGTATGACTTCACCAGTCCTATTAGGTACCAGAATGACTTCACCAGTCCTGTTGGTTACCAGTATGACTTCACCAGTCCTGTTAGGTACCAGTATGACTTCACCAGTCCTGTTAGGTACCAGTATGACTTCACCAGTCCTGTTAGGTACCAGTATGACTTCACCAGTCCTGTTAGGTACCAGTATGACTTCACCAGTCCTGTTAGGTACCAGTATGACTTCACCAGTCCTATTAGATACCAGTATGACTTCACCAGTCCTATTAGGTACCAGATGACTTCACCAGTCCTTTGGTACCAGTATGACTTCACAGTCTATTGGTTATTCATATGTAGCTTCACACTGTAGCTTGATAGTATGCCAGTATCTGACATTATAATGTACTATACATAGTACACAGTATGCATATCACCAGTATATATAATCTAACACTAGTTATCAGTATCAACATACATAAAAATTGATCACACCAGATACATTATCAAACAGTACTTTGGTTATACCTGTAACAGTACAGGAGTGACTTAAAGGAGGTTCCTTGAATACTGGTCAGAGCTCTTGATTTTAGTAATCGGATTATGCTACAATTCTATGAATCAAGCTTAATGCTTCCATTTATTCAGGTTTGTATAACCCTAAGGTTTAGCATCTAAGTCACTTAGTGTGTATTCACGGGTTGTAGGCTATTGCTCTTACCATTATCCATATTTTACTTACAATAATAATTGACAGGAGTATGGTTCAAACCCATGGCAAGCCACTTCTAAAACTAATTGTTTACGATTGTGTCATCTTGCAAGTCACCCATTAAGTTTCAACCTGAAACCAAAACCATAAACTAATTTATTTAACAAACTTCTAATACAGTATATGACCAGGTCTCGAATAGTACGAATTTTGCTTTAGTGTGAAATTAATGCTAGTTTCCCCCAAACTCGTCAGATCATGCACAGAAATTATGTATAATTCAAATAATGCGAATTTGAATAATGAGACCACTTTCTGGGTTTCATTATTCGCACTTATAGAGAGCACGTTGCATTAATAGCATAGTTGTCTTAATAGCATAGTTTTTAAAATGTAATTATATCAGAATAACAAATTTTACAGTGTCGAAGACGCTATATTTTTTCCCCGAAAATAAGTCTTGGAAATTTACCCAGCATCTTTGAGGTCAAAATACTATATTTTTTTTCTTTGTAAAATTTAGCCAATCAGAATTGGGGTGTGTCCTGGACACTGGAGTGTCTTGTTTGCCATAAAATGCGGTACTTGTCGATCTTCATAAATATTTACAATTTCTATGTGAATGTATGCTAAGCCTATTAATTTTTGCTTGCAGAAAAAATTTAAACGCCTGAAGACCATCGTCGACGAAGATTCCGATGTGGAAGGGGAAGACGTACAGGGTCAGATAAGAAAGGAGATCTTTGAAGGCTCTGATGTAAGTAAATCAAATATGCACAGCTTAATATGGGTTGTATTTATGTACATGCAGATTGTTAGAGACGTTTTATTACAAGTGGTCGTCGACTTACAATGAGGTTATGTTCCGATGAACCCATCGTAAGTTGAAAATATCATAAATCAGATATGAATAATATGCTAAATAAGTAAATAACTACTGTCACTGAATAAGTAAGTAAATAATTATTGTAACTAACTAAATACTAGTATTCAAAAATAAATATGTAAATACAAGTTACGGACTTGCCACCTTCATGCTGCGTAATTATCTTAATCTTCATCTCCAAAGTAATTGTTGCCGCACCTTTTTAAAGTTGAAACACTGTAAGTCAAACCATTATAAGTCGAGGACCACCTATATTTTGTTTTATGTATTGGATTATGTAGCAGATGTGTCATTTGAAAGAATGTAGGCTTGTTATTCCTGGTTAATTACATACGTTAATGTAGCTTAAACTAAAGCTGTCACACATTAGTGGCTCCAAGGAAGACTGATGCCTCTTATAATCTCCATCACACTTATGCTCTTCATCTTTCTTCAAGACAATAACACTTCTTAACCCTTAAACGGTCCAAACGTATATATACGTTTTTTCAACATCTGAAAGTATGTAAAAAAATGTAGATCTTCTTTTTTGTTTTACATTTGAAAATGTGTAAAAAAAACTTTTATCTACTTTTTTTTTTTTTGTTATATTTGAAAATATGTAAAAAAAAGTAGATCTACTTTTGTAGCTACGAATTTGAACGTCGATTTGTTTGCACCGTTTAAGGGTTAAATGACCAATTTTTACAATTTATCATGTAATCTTTCAGTTTTTGATGCTAGTCTTTAAAAAAAAAATTTTTTCCTTCATGTCAAACCACCACCTCTTCAAAAAATTGTTTTATAGAGAAGAAATTTTTTAGTGTTACAGGTGACATTGATACACACTTGTTTTAACATGTAGTTATTACATATACATCAAAGAGTTAAAACATACACATGAATGTATGCCTACTTCAGTATACCAGTATTGTATATTTCTTGTGGACAGTTACCTGTATGATAATCAGGGTGTAGTAAAGTACAACCATCCTGTCAAGCAAGTGTGAAATGGAAGTCTGTAATTGTTTTGCATGATGGTAGGATTGCTGGTGTCTTTTTTTTCTGTCTCCTAAATATGCAAGATTTCAGGTGTGTCTTGTTATTTCTACTTACGCTTTGGTCACACTACTCATACACACCCCTCTGGGTTTTCTTCTATTTTCTTAATAGTTCTTGTTTATTGCCTCTTATCTCCATGGGGAAGTGGAACAGAGTTCTTCTTGCATCAGTCATGCATATCATAAAAGGGAACTAAAATGCTGGGAGCAAGGGGCTAGTAACACCTTCTCCTGTATGCATTACTAAATTTAAAACGAAAAACTTTTGTTTTTGAGGTGACCCTGCCTCGGTCAGATACAGCTGGCTTGTCAAAAAAGAGAAAGTGTTTCTCTTTTTTTGGGTCACCCTTCCTTGTTGGGAGACAACCAGCATGATAAAAAAAAAATAATAGCATTAATAATAATAGTAATAACCCGTCATGACTGTTGCTGTAGCCAGCAAAGCAATGTGATAAATACAATATATAAAGTGAAATATCATAGAGTGTACAAACAAGTTTCATTGAGCTGTCTTATATGAAGTAATAATCAGCACCAGTGGTGAGAAGGATACTACTAGAAAGAAAATCTTACTTGTCTCTCTGCTTCTTGTCAACTTTGTGCCATTTGTGTCCTGTTATCACCAGTAATCAATTCACAGAATATGTGGGGATTTGAACCCATGGCAAAGCTAGGACGATGCATTATCCATTTTACTGGCCTCTTGAGAGTCACACCTCACCTGTACAGCGGGGCCCCGCATCTGCAGCACCTATTTTCATTGTTCCACATTTACATTGGCTGTCAGTTGAGCCGTTGTTCATTATGTTTGGTGATTTTACAGCTACGCTGATATCGATAGTTGCATAAGGGAAGGATGCTGGCGCTGTATTTAGAGCTGTATGACCAGGACCCTACTGTACTGTGAACTGACATTTGTCATTGTACTACCAGGGCCCACCTATACTGTGAATTGTTGACAGTCATGTCAATGTATGAACAGAGAACTCCTGTACTGTGAATTGTTTACAATCGTGTCATTACAGTTTTGCAGGTCACCAGTAACAAGTGTACATTTTATTGCAAAAGAGTGAGATTTAATAGTGGCAGTAATTTCATGTCCATGTCCGCTTCAGTCTTCATACAGTAGAGTTCCCGTATCTTTGGATTCAGTTTCCTCAGTATCACTTATCCGTTCTTTGCCTTTACCCAAAAATAACCCTCAATTTTGCTTAATAATGGCCCCAGAGCACAAAAGTAGTGGTGGTGACAGTTGTTCAAAGCTTAAGAGAAGCTGTGAAGTTCTTCCCATCAGTGAAAAGTTCTAATTCTCCACTTACTGTGTGTGTAATTTATCAATTAAACTTACCATAGATAGATGTATATAAACAAAGAATGATTTACATATAGGGTTCACTACTATCCAAGGTTTCTGGCATCCATGGTAGTTCTTGGAATGTATTACCCGCGGATATCGAGGGACTGCTGTATTTACGTTTAACCCTTTAACGTTCCAGCTTCAAAATAATGGAAGGATTTAGACTTAATTCTAGATGCTATAGAATGACCCTTTCTTACTCTGATGTCTTTTAAAGAGCAAAAAGGCACAATACTGTGACTGTAACACTCACAAATAACTCCAAATTGGCTGACTTGGAACAAGTCATGCTGTGACTGTCAATTGTGACTTATTAATGATCCAAGTTGAACCTAGACATCATCTTAAGCTTCTCTCTCCTACGTGCAGGTTATTTGCATCTCGTTACTTTTGCCATATCATTTGTAGTTTTAAAGTTTTTCAAAGAGTACAAATATTTGCTATTCTTACTTGCAAGGAGTTGGAAATCAGCCTCTTTTAGGCCTAGGGACTACACTGCTTCACATTGCTACTCACTTCCCTTAGAAAGGAGTTAGGCCTCTGATTGGTTACTTGAGGATGACAGCAAGTATCCCCTTTTAGCTAGAGGCAATGTCTGTAATTTTAAGTGTCCTGATTGGGCTCTGGAACTCTATAGATGTGGATTTTTAATGGGGTCTTGGATCGTTAATGGGTTAACACACTCGACCCCCTTGTATAATGAAGATAATTAGTACAATGCCCGCACTTTAAAGGAGGGGTTTGGGATATTGGCAGTTTGGAGGGACTTCTAAACTGTCATACCTGAGCACCTCTGCAAAGACAGTGATTGTGTGTGAGTGAGGTGAAAGTGTTGAATGATGATGAAAATATTTTCATTTTGGGGATTTTCTTTCTTTTTGGGTCACCCTGCCTTGGTGGGAGACAACTGATGTGTTGAGGAAAAAAATTAGTTATGCTGTGTAAATGGTACTTAGCAGTTAGTTGATAAATTAGACATATGTGCAACACTTGGGTATCTTTATTGTGGAATCGTTTTGCCACACAGTGGCTTCATCAGTCCATTACAAAGAAGAATGGTGAAAACAGGGTTCTGGAAACGTCCTCACCAGGATCCTGTAACATCCATCAATCTTGATTTAAAGGATGATTATATTGACTCCAGGTGAGGATGATTGCTGAAACTTTCGATGTCACTCCTCCATATTGGGCGTTTAAGCCCCTGTTGGCAAAACGATTCCACAATAACGATACCCCAAACATTGCAATGTATTAATTTAACAACCGGTGGTTTGTGAAGCATTTTCCCACACTTAGCAGTTTGGGTTTTTGTAACCCTTTAAAGCTGTGATTTTTTTCCCAACATTTTAAAAATTCCCGCTTTTTTTTTTCCCTGCATCCTCCAAATTTAGGAGGAGTAGTAAGTTTGTTTATTTTTAAGTGTTTTTATGAACCCGGTTTTTACTTTGTTTGTTCAAGTACCAAAAAAAAATTTTTTTAGTGAGTCTTTATGTACTTTGAAGTTTAAATGTGTAAGAAATACTGAGGACAGATGTTTTTGACTTTTTGAAAGATGGGTAAAAAGGATGGTGGGGGGTGTTAAATTGCAGTGGGGGAAAGGAGGGAGTAGGGGTAACCTAGGAAAGGGTTTTAGGGAAGGAGGAGTAGGGGTTGTCCCAGGGGGGTTTTAGGGGAGGAGGAGTAGGGGGCATTGGAAGGGTTGAGGGGGGGAGGAGTAGGGGTTGTCTAGGGAAGGGTTTTTTGGGGAGGGGGATAGGGGTATCCTAGGGGGGGTTTAGGGAAGGGGGATAGGGGGCTCCTAGGAAGGGTTGTGGGAGGATAGTAGGGGTCATCCTGGAAGGGTTGTGGGGAGGAGGAGAGGGGTCATCCAGGAGGGTTGTAGGGGAAAGGGGGGAGGGGGTACCCAGGGAAGGGTTGTAGGGGAAGAGTTAGGGGGCATCCAGGGAAAGGGTTGTAGGGGAGGAGGAGTAGGGGGGCTCCTGGGGGGGTTGAGGGAAGGGGGAGTAGGGGTCATCCCAGGAAGGGTTGTAGGGAAAGGGGGATGGGGTTTCCCAGGGAGAGTTATAGGGAAAGGGGGGAGGGGATTCCCAGGAAGGTTTTAGGGGGGGGGAGTTTGGGGGCATCCTAGGAAGGGTTTTAGGGAAAGGGGGATGGGTTGTCCTAGGGAAAGGGGTTTTTTGGGGAAAGGGGGAGTAGGGGTCATCCTAGGAAGGGTTGTAGGGGAGGAGGAGTAGGGGTCGTCCTAGGAAGGGTTGTAGGGAAGGAGGAGTAGGGGTCATCCTAGGAAGGGTTGTAGGGAAGGAGGAGTAGGGGTTGTCCTAGGGAGAGTTATAGGGAAGGAGGAGTAGGGGTATTCCCAGGAATGGTTGTAGGGGAGGAGTAGGGGTCATCCTAGGAAGGGTTGTAGGGATCATCCTAGGAAGGGTTATAAGGAAGGAGGAGTAGGGGTCATCCTAGAAAGGGTTGTAGGGGTATTCCCAGGAAGGGTTGTAGGGAAGGAGGAGTAAGGGTCATCCCAGGAAGGGTTGGGGGGGGGGGGTTATAGGAGGCTTGGAATGCTAGGCACTTGAATGTTTAACAGTCTTGTATAACCTCACTAGATCAGAGTGAGTAGAAACAAGTGTTATTTTTATGACTTGACATGCTTTTGGAGTGCAAGCAAGATGAAGTATGACTGAGGTGGGAACTGCAAGCAAGATAAGTTATGAATGTTTGAGGTGGGAAGTGCAGTGCTTGCACTCCAAAGGAAATGTTTCAGTGCCTGCACTCCAAAGGAAGTGTGATGAATATGTTTCGTCTTGTTGGTCACTCTGCCTCGGTGGGAGACGAACAGCGTGTTAAAAAATAATCCCTTGACCCATCTGTTACTAGGCATGATCATCAGTGAAAAATGGTATGGTGATCAGGGCTGTGGAGCTAGAGTCGTGGAGTTGGAGGTAAATAAAGGACTTAGAGTTGAAGGTTTTATGTGCCAACTCCACAACCCTGATGGTGATACCAACATTGTGGAAAAGGATACTTGTACACTGTATATAAGGCTCTTTTTCCATATTAATATTAGTAGGTTTAAAACCTCCATGGCAGCAGTGTTCCTTCATGCCTCCCAGTACATACACCAGTGTTCCTTCATGCCTCCCAGTACATACACCAGTGTTCCTTCATGCCTCCCAGTACATACACCAGTGTTCCTTCATGCCTCCCAGTGCACACACCAGTGTTCCTTCATGCCTCCCAGTACATACACCAGTGTTCCTTCATGCCTCCCAGTACATACACCAGTGTTCCTTCATGCTCCCAGTACATACACCAGTGTTCCTTCATGCCTCCCAGTACATACACCAGTGTTCCTTTAGCCTCCCAGTACATACACCAGTGTTCCTTCATGCCTCCCAGTACATACACCAGTGTTCCTTCATGCCTCCCAGTACATACACCAGTGTTCCTTCATGCCTCCCAGTACATACACCAGTGTTCCTTCATGCCTCCCAGTACATACACCAGTGTTCCTTCATGCCTCCCAGTACATACACCAGTGTTCCTTCATGTCTCCCAGTACATACACCAGTGTTCCTTCATGTCTCCCAGTACATACACCAGTGTTCCTTCATGCCTCCCAGTACATACACCAGTGTTCCTTCATGCCTCCCAGTACATACACCAGTGTTCCTTCATGCCTCCAGTACACACACCAGTGTTCCTTCATGCCTCCCAGTACATACACCAGTGTTCCTTCATGCCTCCCAGTACATACACCAGTGTTCCTTCATGCCTCCCAGTACATACACCAGTGTTCCTTCATGCCTCCCAGTACACACACCAGTGTTCCTTCATGCCTCCCAGTACACACACCAGTGTTCCTTCATGCCTCCCAGTACATACACCAGTGTTCCTTCATGTCTCCCAGTACACACACCAGTGTTCCTTCATGCCTCCCAGTACACACACCAGTGTTCCTTCATGCCTCCCAGTACACACCAGTGTTTCTTCATGCCTCCCAGTACACACACCAGTGTTCCTTCATGCCTCCCAGTACACACACCAGTGTTCCTTCATGCCTCCCAGTACATACACCAGTGTTCCTTCATGTCTCCCAGTACACACACCAGTGTTCCTTCATGCCTCCCAGTACACACACCAGTGTTCCTTCATGCCTCCCAGTACACACACCAGTGTTTCTTCATGCCTCCCAGTACACACACCAAACAGTGTTTCTTCATGCCTCCCAGTACACACACCAGTGTTCCTTCATGCCTCCCAGTACACACACCAGTGTTCCTTCATGCCTCCCAGTACACACACCAGTGTTCCTTCATGCCTCCCAGTACATACACCAGTGTTCCTTATGCCCCCCAGTACATACACCAGTGTTCCTTCATGCCTCCCGGTACACACACCAGTGTTCCTTCATGCCTCCCAGTACACACACCAGTGTTCCTTCATGCCTCCCGGTACACACACCAGTGTTCCTTCATGCCTCCCAGTACACACACCAGTGTTCCTTCATGCCTCCCAGTACATACACCAGTGTTCCTTCATGCCTCCCGGTACACACACCAGTGTTCCTTCATGCCTCCCAGTACACACACCAGTGTTCCTTCATGCCTCCCAGTACACACAAACCACACAATCGGTCCTCAGCATTTCTTATCAAATTTTGGCTTGAAATTCATCAGTACACTGCTTATATTTGTGTGGTATGAGCATATACCAGAGAAATATTGTGTGGGTCTTACCTGTGTTATAATCATACAAAAAGGTTGCACTTAAATGCTATATTGTATTACGTACTTAAGTTATTCCAAAATATGTATTTAGTAAAACTAAGTATTTACAGTCATAACAGCAATCGTTTGTACTTCATAGCTTTTATTTATTCATCTTTTATGTATACCTGGCATTTATCATTAAATTTCTTGTGATCCTCCTTCATGGTCATTGTAAACTTAGGGAGTCATAATGTAACATTGATTACATATGCAGTGCAGTACTCACATTATGTAATCCACTTACAATATGTAATCCACTTCCCTAGATCTTCTCACTCATACAAGGTACACCTGTGAGAAATCTGTTGGTGTAAGACTTTCATCCGCATCTCTGCCGTACACCATATTACGTATTTTTAATTTGTTACCACAAGTTTTTTTATTTGTCGGATTATTAGATGGTATAATAACTATCTTCCTACCTCACTGTAGAGCTTCTCATGTGCAACCATCTCCTCACTCCTCAGTGTGTTTATGTGTATGTAAGATTCTGTACATTTTCTTAAAATCCTTACCATGCCAGCTTTTGACAGTATCCTGTAACTATTCCTTTGGTACTCTAGTTTATTGTCTGTCTCCTTTTTCATGTGTACACTTATCTCTGTACTCAGAGATGAGTATTAAGAGTTCTCTCTGATTCCAACTTATTGTTCAGAACTGACTTGATTCTCTGGTATCGCAGGATGAGGAGGAGGAAGGACCTTCAGCACCTCATCCTCCACAACAGGCTGAAACATATGCATCAGAAGAGGAGGAGGAGGAGTCTGATGGTGAAGAGAACTTCATCGTCGACGATGAAGGGAAGCCAATTGCCAAACAGAAGAGGAAGGCTATATTTGAGGATGAAGGACTGGAAGCTGCTCGCGATATCTTCGGTTGTGATTTCGATTATGGGGAATTTGAGCAGTATGAAGGTATGTTGTGTTACAAAGTTTGTAATTCAACCCCATGTGTGGAAGATGGAAAGTACAAGTGCTCCGGGACTTACAATGGTTTGACTTACGATATTTCAACTTTGCGATGGTGCAAAAGCAATTACTCAGGTGTGATTTCAGTTATGGGGAATTTGAGCAGTATGGAGGTATGTACAAGAAGGGTTTACAATACAGATAAGATGAATTAGACACATACGCAACATCTGGGTATCTTTATTTGTAGACGTTTTGCCATCCAGTGGCTTTATCAATACAAAGACATAATGTGAAGACTGTATGAAGGTATATAGTGTTGCAAAATTTGTTTGCAATTCAACCCTATGTGTAGTAGACAGAAAATACAAGTGCTTCTCAACTTATGATGGTTTAACCTACTTCATTTCAACTTTATGATGGTGCAGCATCAGTTACTTTGGAGATGAAACTTAATTACCCAGTATGAAGGTAGCAAGTCCCTAATTTGTATTCATTTATTGACTTTTCAGTACTGTATTTATTTACAGGAATTATTTATTTATTTAACCCTTTGACTGTCGAAAGGCCCAATCCTGAAGTGTCTCCTGGTGTCGCAAAATATTCGAAAAAAAAAAGTTATTTTTTCTTATGAAAATGTTAAGATTATTTTTCTGATTGTTTTAGTCCCCCCAAAAAAAAATTTCCCATCAGTACTTACCGAGATATAAAGGCATGAAGTTTGCAGAAAATGAGCCGCGTATGGCAACAGCGGCGACTGCCGCTCACCTGGTAAACTTTAGTTTATTTGTATTTGAAGTTTAGTTTTTTTTTTTTTCACTATTTTATTTTTTCACATAACTTATGTGGCCTATGAGACCAAAGTAAGGTGCAATGTACATATATACACTCGTTGTATACAACACAATAAGCACACAAACATAATTATCAATATATTGTTTACAAAACTTGTTTACAAAAACAATACAAAAAATTGTTTATTAGTATTGTTCTATAATATATATACCAGTGTACAGTCACCGAACATATTCCTAGAAGTTCTGCAGCTTGTGTAACTCTTTGAAACATGGTGTCATACACAGTGGTGTTTTACGCTCCTTCCTTACTTTTTTCCTTCCTTTCATCTCGTCCTTCCTTCATTCCTGCCTTCCCTTCTTGCTTCTGGTTTCTATAATATATATACACATATATAGTCACTAGATACTTTCATATAACTGCTATTATCTCCATTCATCAAGCTTGTCTTGTGTGCTAGTGTGTGGTTTATAATTTTGTGTCAGGAGTGGGCAGCTGTCAAAATGACATATTGTCTCATTACTCACTCCCCCTACTGCCTGTCAAAACAATGGGGTCGGATGCTGCTTCCCCTCCATTCTATCTAATTATATTTCTCCCTCATTCTATCTCTTTCAATCTCTCTCTCTCTCTGTCTGTCTATCTCTGTCTCACAGGTACACATAAATACAACTATACATAGTGTAAATTACCTAGGATAACCCAAAAAATCCAGACAAAGTGCTATACTCTGCTTGAAGATGTGAGTAAACGTGATGATGACACAATCTTGTGGCTCTCTCTGAGACAGAGCTAGATGGATAGACAGGGAGCTTGGCAGACAGACAAATAGACAGACAGACAAATGTTTGTCTAGTCATCTAATCTTTCCTTATCAGCTCCACGCTCATTTATGCTTATCAAATGTCAGCTCTTATCAGATGTTATCTCCCCTTATCTTGTCACTGTCATGGGGTGAACTGTTTTCCATGCTTCAAGGGAACATATTATTACTTATTATTAGGTGGTATTATTATTATTCTTCTTCCTCCTCTTCCTCTTTTTCCTCTTCTTCCTCCTCCTCTTCCTCCTCCTGCTCCTCTTCCTCCTCCTCCTCTGCCTTCCTCCTTCCTCTGCCTTCCTCCTTCCTCTGCCTTCCTCCTTCCTCTGCCTTCCTCCTTCCTCTGCCTTCCTCCTTCCTCTGCCTTCCTCCTCCTCTGCCTTCCTCCTCCTCCTCCTCCTCCTCCTCTGCCTTCCTCCTTCCTTCCTCTTCCTCCTTCCTTCCTTCCTCTTCCTCCTTCCTTCCTTCCTCTTCCTCCTTCTTTCCTTCCTTCTCCTCTGCCTTCCTCCTCCTCCTCTTCCTCCTCCTCCTCCTCCTCTTCTTCCTCCTCCTCCTCCATTGCTTTTGGTCTCAAACTCTTCGAAATTATGAAATTGATCTTCACTGACACTTCCATCTGTGTTAGAGCATCACTTGGGAAGAGAAGAGTCCCAGAGTTGCTGGGGAGTCACATATTTCTTACCGCTAGACATGCTGAAACAGGACGACTGAAATGGCATTCCCACAATGCACCACTGGCTCCCCGATTTTTTTATATGATGCACACTGACCATGGAGACCCATTCTCTTACATGTGGGCCTACCAGCTTTCTCCTGCTTGATATGAAGCCGCTGGAATTTATGCGTATAGATACATCAAACAAGGTATCTCCTATGACATATATATACGACCGTGACAGTCAAGGGGTTAATAACAGTTACTTATTTACTTACTTAGCATATCATATTTGCCTTATGATGTTTTCGACTTACTGTGGGTTTGTTGGAACATAAACCTATGGTAAGTTGAGGGTCATCTGTAGTGAAATTCATTCTTTATTGATGCACTTAATTCTCTCCTTTCACTGGTGCATTGAAGCATCTGTAGAGACAGAACTTATCCAAGGAGGTAAAACGGAAAATGTTCTAGAGTAGAATGACACCAACACTGTTGTATGGATGTGAGGCATGGGTTGTAAATGTTGTGGTGAGGAGGAGGCTGGAGGCAGTGGAGACGTGTTTCAGAGCAATGTTACTTTTTTATTATGACGTTGGTCATTTCCCACCAAGGCAGAATGACCCGTGAAAGAAGAAGCACTTTCATCATCACTCACTCAATCACTGTCTTGCCACAGGTGTGCCGATGCTACAGTTCAAAAACTTCAATGTGTGGTGTGAATTTTATGCAGAAAATTCAGAATTTAGAGATCAGGAAGAGGTGTGGCATCACCAAAATTTTTCAGGGGGCTGAGGAAGGATAGTAGAGGTGATTTGGACATTTAGGAAGGATGGAGCAAAATAGGATGACTTAGAGGGCATAAAAATCTGTAGTGGAGGAAAGGAGAGGTCAGGGTAGTCCAGGGAAGGGCTGGAGGGAGGGGGGTAGAGGAAGCTTTGAGTGTTAAAGAGGCATGGACATCTAACAGGCTTGTGTGAGTATGTTTCATAAGAGTGGAGACGAGGTGGTTTAATCACTTGATGTGCTGTTGGAGTATAAGTAAAGTAATATTTATGAAGGGATTCAGGGAAACCAATTAATCAGACTTGAGTCCTGGAGGTGGTATGTACAGTCCCTGCACCCTGAAGGATGGATGAAGATACTGAATTGTGATGTTGGCATCCTCGGAGCATGACAGTGATTGACTGAGTGATAGTGAAGGCATTTTCTTCTTTGTAAGTAAATCCTTACCATCACTAAGTTGAAATATCATAAGTTGAACCATTGTTAGTCAGGGAGCACCTGTAATCTACAATAATTTGGTGACTATTGCATATTTGTCATACTTGTATAATACTAGAGAGAGTTGGTACAGAGAACTAGGACACTTGAAGGTTAAAAGTGGATTTGATCTTAACACTACTTAAAGGCACAATCAAGTGAGGTGAAATGGAAGTTGAAGCCCCAAGATATGTTGCTAGTTACTGATTTCTGTCAACTTCACATTCAATTCAATATTCAAATATTTCTACTTGATACATTCTATGTACAGAAATGGATGTAGATAAATGGTTCATAGAATTGACAAGTTGATAAATTAGACACATAATACACTTGAGTATCATTATTGGTGGACTGATTACATCAACTCCAGGCTGAGGGACTGATTACCTAAAACTCCTTCTGATCTTCACCATTCTTCTTGGTATTGGACTGTTGAAGCCAATGTGTGGCAAAATATTTCCACAATAAAGATACCCCAGTGTGGCAAATGTGTCTAATTTGTCATGTATGCAGAAAGCCCATGGTTATGTAGAGCACTTGGTATACATTGTTGAGAATAATTGATGCTGTTCATAATATACAGTAGGACCCCTGTATCCACGGATTTTGTTTCCAACTGTTTCAGTTATCCATAGTTTACCGTGGCCTGAAAATAACCTTGAAAATAACCCTGAGAATAACACTGAGAATAACCCTGAGAATAACCCTGAGAATAACACTGAGAATAACCCTGAGAATAACCCTGAGAATAACCCTGAGAATAACCCTGAGAATAACCCTGAGAATAACACTGAGAATAACACTGAGAATAACCCTGAGAATATCCCTGAGAATAACCCTGAGTTTTGCTTAATAGCCCCAAAGCACAACAGTATTGATAGTGACAGTTGTTCAAAGTCTAAGAGAAGCTGTGAAGTGCTTCCCATCAATGGAAAAGTGATAATTCTCCACTAATTGTGCATAATTTATCAATTATACTTTATCATAGTGATTATGTATGAGTGAGGTGAATGTGTTAAATGATGACGATGAAAGCATTAACTCATCAGAGGTATAAGCCCCTTGTCCATCTTTCTGTTTATTCATCGTGGGATATATTTATCACTATGACTTGTACAGTTGTAATAACATATTTACAAACAAGCCAATGTACAGGCAGGGTTACAACCCATGGCAAGTGAGTGGTAAAAACCTAGGCCAGTGTGTAAGCCACCAACTTCTAACCCCACCTGTACCATGGTTGATTTACCATTAGTTTTACAGTATTTCCTTCCACAGCACAATTCAGGGAAAATTTACACAATCAGCAAAGTCCTGTATCTCGTGTTGTGGAATATCTTAAATAAGTACACTTTCCTGCATAAAACATGATAACAGAGAGCAGTACTTACCTTTTAACAGCATGAATTCCAGCAGCCTCTCCCTGGATTTGCTTTCGATGTTGCTGTTGTTGTGTCCACAGTGGCTGTGGGTAGTGAGTAATCTGGGTTAACTCTGACCCATTATATGTATTCCAGTATATCACAGTACTTGGAATGTGATGATTTCTCGCATGGGTTTTGGTGTTGGCTTTCTAATGACGGTCGCTAAGGTGGAAAATATTCCTTCTAACATTAGCCTAAACACTGTAGCATTTTAAAAGGACAAATGAAAGGGGAATAAGACCTGCCTGACTCATTGTAGCTGGAGTCCTGTGTCGTTAGACATGAGGCCATTATCAGTTAAACAAACAGTATTTTACTTCAGCACTCCCAATGTTCACTCAAGAAAGGTACACGGAGATGCTAATAAAAACTTCGTGATTAGTTCTGCAAATTTCCCAACTCATATTAAGGAACTAGTCTGACTTTCCTAGTTTACCTGAGATTGTCAGATCAAATCTAAGAACATGCGGCCACTGCTGTTTCTTTTTCTTCGGCGGAAGGGCGGCAATGCCCTCTGTGACACGTTCCCACTCGTTCCTGTCGCAATCTGCCCTCTTGGGCGCTGTGAACCTTCGTCTCATGAAGGAAATGCTGACTTAAGCATCATAGACATCCATTTCTAGCTTTTGCAACAGACTTCATCCTAGAATCCCTGTTTCTTAGGATTCTAGGGAGGTTTATGGGGCTTGTTGATCAAGTGGGGTGCAGCTTTTCACAAAATTTTCCTGCACTGGGGAAATAGCAGCTCCCATAGACGTCAACTGGCATGTACTAGTGGCCAGGAAGTCCGGTAGAGAGAGGTGTGTCTTGTGACACCTCTCCCGACACGTAGTTTTGATAACTGTTGTGGGAGGGAGAAAGCAAAATGGTTCACAAGCCCCTCTGAGAGGGCTACCCCCTTTGGAGAGGGTCATTACCCACCTTCAAGAGGGGGGGGAAATATCACCCCCCTTCATAAACTGGAAATTTTTATCCACATCTCACTTTTTTTTTCCGAGATTCAAAATTTCAACTTGTGTTCACCACAAGAAGCCCAAATGAAACTAGTGCATACTTAGCCTTCCAGACTACTATAAAATAATTCATGTCAAGCTCTAAACCCAGTGGGGGACCTGTATTTTTGGGGCCCTGAAGCTTGAACTGTTATGGGGTCCCTTTCTCATACAATAGACCCAGAATTTTTAAGCATTGTAAACTAAAGTTGCTTCTGGGGCCCCTCCAGGATTAGGGCCCCTGAAAATTAAGCTCCGTTAGTTTCATAGTAGATCTACCCCTGGCTAAACCCATGTAGGTCATTCAGTACAAGATGTGATGGAGGCTTGAGCATCCATCTGCTGAATGCCAGACAGACACCCTTCGTAGTTTTACTCGCCTAGTTCACAAGTGGAACCAATGCATTAGGATGACAGGGTGGGCATTGAGAACTCTCAAAACAAGAAATAATCCTAATGGAGACACTCTTTAAATTGCTAGGGCTCCCTTGTTTGGAATATTGCTCAGTGCTGATGGCCCCTTCAAAGCAGGAGAAATATCAGGAGCTGGAGCACATACAGAGATTGTTTATGGCACACACAGAGCCAGTAAAGCATTTAAATTACTGGGAATGCCTTAAAGTCTTGAACCTGTACTCAATGGAGCAGAGGAGAGAGAGAGAGAAAGAGGCATGATAATATATACCTGGAAAGTACTTGAGGGCCTGGTCCCAAATCTGCACACTGCCATAACAACATACTGGAGTGAGAGATATGAGAGGAAGTGCAAAATAAACCCAGTGAAGATCAGGGGTGCTATCCTAGTCTAGTACCCCTGCTCCTCACTGGGTGCTAGCCTTATCAGCATTCATTGACTAGGCTAGCACCAGACCAGGCTAGCCCATGGCCAGGCTCCGAGAGTAGTAAAACTCTCGAAACTCATCAAAACTATATCAGAGATAATGCATACTTAGCATTCCAAATTGCTGTAGATTTATAGCAGGGGTTCGTAACTGGGGGTATCCATATCCCCCTCCTTGTTAATTGTGGTCTACTGTATGTAACATCAGATAACAACTTTGATTATAGCTTTTGGAAAAGCTTTTGGCAATTGATGGAAAGGTATTCTCAGGATGCCATGAATAGTATATTGCATTTTATTAATGCCTCCTTTTTTTTGTTTAATAAAGATTATATTTGTATACTTTATTTTAGGAAAGAGGACACAAGTACAACTAATACTTTTTTTTTTTTTTACACATCGGCTGTCTCCCACCAATCAGGGTGGCCTGAAGAAGAAAAATTTTCATCATCATTCACTCCATCACTGTCTTGCCAGAGGCGTGCTTGCACTACATTTGTAAAACTGCAACATTAACACCCCTCCTTGAGAGTGCAGGCACTGTACTTCCCATCTCCAGGACTCAAGTCCGGCCTGCCGGTTTTCCTGAATCCCTTCATAAATGTTACCTTGCTCACACTCCAACAGCACATCAAGTCCTAAAAACCATTTGTCTCCATTTGCTCCTATCTAACACGCTCACGCATGCTTGCTGGAAGTCCAAGGCCCTCACAAAACCACCTTTACCCCCTCCCTCCAACCTTTCCTAGGCCGACCCCTACCCCGCCTTCCCTTCACTACAGGTTTATACACTCTTGAAGTCATTCTATATCTTTCCATCCTCTCTACTAATGTAACATTTTATTGTGGCAATGTCTCACTCTCCAAAAACTTTGTTAAGCTAGCTTGACAAAGTTCCTAGAGAGAGAAACTTTGCCACAATAAAATGTCACATTGGTTACACTTGTGTTCTTGTACCTAACATTTGCCTTCACTAGATAGGAGTAAGTGGAGACATTGTTTCTGGGACTTGACAAGGTGGAGTGTGAGCAGGGTAACATTTTGTGAGGAGATTCAGGGAAACCAGTTAGCCAGACTAGAGTTCTGGAGGTGGGAAGTACAGTGCCTGTACTCTGAATGAGGGGTAGGGATATCTGCTGTTTAGAGTGACATCTGAACTGTCATATCTGTGCTCCTCTGGCAAGACAATAATAGTGTGAATGATGGTGAAAGTGTTGAGTCACCCTCTGCCTCGGAACACGGCCAACATGTTGAAAAAAAAATTGTCGTTTATTCTACCTTTATTATACTTTATTTTGTTTTAGACTGGGAGGAAGGAGAGGAGGAAGAGGAGGAGGAGGACGACGACTATGAGGAGGACGAGGAAGGTGGCGAGGGCCGAGAACATCGCCGAGGACGTAAGGAACGCAGGAAACAAATTAAAAAGTCCATCTACGAGGTATGTTATGAGATGCGGCAGCAGCCACAAGATTGTTTTCTTTTCTAGTATATTATACACAACCCACAAGTAGCAGAGAGAAACTTGAGACGACATTTCGGTCCAACTTGGACTATTTACAAAGCCACACACAAGTCGGTTCAACTTGTAAATGGTCCAAGTCAGACTGAAACATCATCATAAGCTCCTCTCTCTTATGTGCATGTTATTTGTGTATTGTTCCAGTCACGGTATGTATTATGAATATTATATACAATACAGGAAGTCCTCGATGTGGTTGTAAGTTGAGGACTTATTGTGTTTTGACTTTTTGTTCTTTCTAGTGTATTATGTTTGAATGTAAAGAATAAAAGTCCCACTGTTGTTATTGGAACAATACACAAGTAACCTGCACATAGAAGAAACAAACTTATAACAACAATTCAGTCCAACTTGGACTATTTACAAGTTACACATTGTGACTGTGTATGACTTGTTAATGGACTAGGTTGGACCTAAATGTCTTCATAACTTTCATTCTCCTGTGTGCGAGTTATTTGTGTATTGTTCCAGTCGTGGTATTGTGACTTTATGTTGTTTATATTAGTCATTGTAGAGTGTGATAACCTTTCCAACATAGAAATAGTCACATTGTTTTCCTTCATCATCGTGGTTAAAAAATAAGCATATCCTGTAGTGTATTTTTTTCCATGCCTATAATATCTGTCCCCCGAAAGACCATTGTAAAATATATGTGGATGCTATGCATGCAAGACTAAATGAAACTGACTTGCTTTCATAGAGTGAGTGTGAGGTATCACCTTGAACATTAAAATGGTATAAAATACCGACAGGTTGTTAGGTAAGACACATATGCAACAGTTAGGTATCTTTATTTCGAAACTAAAGAAGCCTACTGTGTAGGCGAAACGTTTCGAAACAAAGATACCTAACTGTTGCATATGTGCCTTACCTAACAGGTATCACCTTGTTGATATGTTCTACTGAGTCATTGTTACCCAGGATGCAATGCATGAACATGCCTGGACGTGTACAACCAGGAATAGTGCGGATTCAATTTAGTGCAAAAGTTAATGCTAGTTATTCCTAAAATTCTTCAAATCATGTGCAGGATTGCATGTAATTTAAATAATGCGACCACTTTGTGGGGTTTATTGTTCACACTAATTGAAACCTGGCTGCAGAACTGGATTAATATTTTGTAGGCTGCTGGGCTACGGGTACTGTGAGGGGTCCCTGGGCTACAGGTACTGAGGGGGTCCCTGGGCTACAGGTACTGAGGGGTCCCTGGGCTACAGGTACTGTGAGGGGTCCCTGGGCTACAGGTACTGAGGGGTCCCTGGGCTACAGGTACTGTGAGGGGTCCCTGGGCTACAGGTACTGTGAGGGGTCCCTGGGCTACAGGTACTGAGGGGTCCCTGGGCTACAGGTACTGAGGGGTCCCTGGGCTACAGGTACTGAGGGGTCCCTGGGCTACAGGTACTGTGAGGGGCCCCTGGGCTACAAGTACTGTGAGGGGCCCTGGGCTACAAGTACTGTGAGGGGCCCCTGGGCTACAAGTAGTGTGAGGGCCCCTGGGCTGCAAGTACTGTGAGGGGCCCCTGGGCTACAAGCACTGTGAGGGCCCTGGGCAAAATAAGTGAGGGCCTGGCTGTAATTACTGATGTGCCCTGGGCTATAAGTAGTGTGAGGCCCCGGCTGCAAGTACTGTGAGGGACCCCTGGGCTACAAAAACTGTGAGGTCCTGGGCTAAAGTATGTGAAGGGCCCTGGCTCAGTACTTGAGGGCCCTTGGCTACAAGTACTGTGAGGCCCCTGGCTGTAAGTTCGTGAGGGCCCTGGGCAGTCATTAGTGTGAGGGCCCCTGGCTAGCAAGTACTGTGAGGGCCCTGGCTACAGTAGTGAGGGGCCCTGGGCTAGTAGTGTGATGCCTTGGCTACAAAGTTACTAGTTGAGGGTCCCCAAAGGGCTACAAGCACTGTGAGGTTGCCCTGGCTTAAAATCACTGTGAGGGCCCCTGGTACAGCACTTGTGAGGGGCCCCTGGTACACACAAGTGAGGATCCCGGGCTCAGCATGAAGGGCCCTGGGCTATAATATGTGTAGGGCCCATGGGCTAGCAAGTACTGTGAGGGGCCCCTGGGCTACAAGCACTGTAGAGGTCCCCTGGGCTACAGCACTGTGAGGGGCCCCTGGGCTACAAGACTGATGGGCCCTGGGCTCAAGGAGGCCCCTGGGCTACAAGTACTGTGAGGGCCCCTGGGCTACAAGTACTGTGAGGGGCCCCTGGGCTACAAGTACTGTGAGGGGCCCCTGGGCTGCAAGTACTGTGAGGGCCCCTGGGCTACAAGCACTGTGAGGAGCCCCTGGGCTACAAGCACTGTGAGGGGCCCCTGGGCTACAAGCACTGTGAGGGGCCCCTGGGCTACAAGCACTGTGAGGGCCCCTGGGCTACAAGCACTGTGAGGGGCCCCTGGGCTACAAGCACTGTGAGGGCCCCTGGGCTACAAGCACTGTGAGGGCCGGCTAAACACGTGGGCCCTGGCTACAAGTCACTGTGAGGGCCCCTGGGCTACACATTGAGGCCCCTGGCTACAGCCTGAGGCCCCTGGGCTACAAGCACTGTGAGGGGCCCCTTGGCTACAAGCACTGTGAGGGCCCTGGGCTACAAGACACTGGAGGCCCCTGGGCTACAAGCACTGTGAGGGCCCCTGGGCTAAGCACTGAGGAGCCCTGGCTACAAGCACTGAGGGCCCTGGGCTACAAGCACTGTGAGGGCCCCTGGGCTACAAGCACTGTGGATGGCCCCTGGGCTCAAGCACTGTGAGGGCCCCTGGGCTACAAGCACTGTGAGGGGCCCCTGGCTACAAGCACTGTGAGGGCCCCTGGGCTACAAGCACTGTGAGGGCCCCTGGGCTACAAGCACTGTGAGGGCCCCTGGGCTACAAGCACTGTGAGGGGCCCCTGGGCTACAAGCACTGTGAGGGCCCCTGGGCTACAACACTGAGGCCCCTGGGCTACAAGCACTTGAGGGCCCCTGGGCTACAAGCACTGTGAGGGCCCCTGGGCTACAAGCACTGTGAGGGCCCCTGGGCTACAAGCACTGTGAGGGCCCCTGGGCTACAAGCACTGTGAGGGCCCCTGGGCTACAAGCACTGTGAGGGCCCCTGGGCTACAAGTCACTTGAGGGCCCCTGGGCTACAAGCACTGTGAGGGCCCTGGGCTACAAGCATGTGAGGGCCCCTGGGCTACAAGCACTGTGAGGGCCCTGGCTACAGCAGTGTGAGGGCCCCTGGGCTACAAGTACTGTGAGGGGCCCCTGGGCTACAAGCACTGTGAGGGCCCCTGGGCTACAAGCACTGTGAGGGCCCCAGTCATATTTTCAAAAGGAAAAAAGTTAGAAATATTAAATTTATTTTTACAAAACTGACAACAATTAAAATTCAAACATTTGCTTTGTCTTATTTCTTGGAAACAAATTTATCCAAAACATCAGTAACTTGTAAATTGTTGAGAACATCTCTGGAGGCCCTCCAGCTGGTGGAGGCCCCTGGGCTGCAGCCCCTGGAGGCCCTCCAGCTGGTGGAGGCCCCTGGGCTGCATCCCTGGAAGCCCTCCAGCTGGTGGAGGCCCCTGGGCTGCAACCCCTGAAGCCCTCCAGCTGGTGGAGGCCCTGGCTGCACCCTGGAAGGCCCTCCAGCTGGTGGAGGCCCCTGGGCTGCAACCCCTGGAAGCCCTCCAGCTGGTGGAGGCCCCTGGGCTGCAGCTCCTAGAGGCCTTTCAGCTGGTGGAGGCCCCTGGGCTGCAGCTCCTGGAGCTCTAGCTGGGGAGCTCCTGGGCTGCAGCTCCTGAGCCTCCAGCTGGTGGAGGCTCCTGGGCTGCAGCCCCTGGAGGCCCTGTAGCTGGTGGAGGCCCCTGGGCTGCAGCCCCTGGAGGCCCTGGCTGCAGCCCGTGGAGGCCCTCCAGCTGGTAGAGGCCCCTGGGCTGCAACCCCTGGAAGCCCTCCAGCTGGTGGAGGCCCCTGGGCTGCACCCCCTGGAGGCCCTCCAGCTGGTGGAGGCTCCTGGGCTGCAACCCCTGGAGGCCCTCCCGCTGGTGGAGGCCCCTGGGCTGCAGCCCCACCTAGTTGTATTTTTCCCCCTGTAAGTGGGTCAAGATGATAGAACACCCATACAGGTGAGTTGAGGTATATAATAGTGTGTGGAAATTAGACAATGTGAGGTACAGGAAATCTTCGACTTACAAGCATATTCGAGAGCTTTTTTATTTTTTTATTATCACACTGGCCGATTCCTACCAAGGCAGGGTGGCCCGAAAAAGAAAAACTTTCACCATCATTCACTCCATCACTGTCTTGCCAGAAGGGTGCTTTACACTACAGTTTTTAAACTGCAACATTAACACCCCTCCTTCAGAGTGCAAGCACTGTACTTCCCATCTCCAGGACTCAAGTCCGGCATGCCGGTTTCCCTGAACCCTTCATAAATGTTACTTTGCTCACACTCCAACAGCACGTCAAGTATTAAAAGCCATTAGTCTCCATTCACTCCTATCAAACACGCTCACGCATGCCTGCTGGAAGTCCAAGCCCCTCTCACACAACACCACCTTTACCCCCTCCCTCCAACCTTTCCTAGGTCGACCCCTACCCCACCTTCCTTCCACTACAGACTGATATACTCTTGAAGTCACTCTGTTTCGCTCCATTCTCTCTACATGTCCGAACCACCTCAACAACCCTTCCTCAGCCCTCTGGACAACAGTTTTGGTAATCCCGCACCTCCTCCTAACTTCCAAACTACGAATTCTCTGCATTATATTCACACCACACATTGCCCTCAGACATGACATCTCCACTGCCTCCAGCCTTCTCCTCGCTGCAACATTCATCACCCATGCTTCACACCCATATGTGAGCGTTGGTAAAACTATACTCTCATACATTCCCCTCTTTGCCTCCAAGGACAAAGTTCTTTGTCTCCACAGACTCCTAAGTGCACCACTCACCCTTTTCCCTCTCATCAATTCTATGATTCACCTCATCTTTCATAGATCCATCCCTGACACGTCCACTCCCAAATATCTGAATACATCACCTCCTCCATATCTCCCCTCCAGTCTGATATCCAATCTTTCATCACCTAATCTTTTTGTTATCCTCATAACCTTATTCTTTCCTGTATTCACTTTTAATTTTCTTCTTTTTGCACACCCTACCAAATTCACCACCAATCTCTGCAACTTCTCTTCAGAATCTCCCAAGAGCACAGTGTCATCAGCAAAGAGCAACTGTGACAACTCCCACTTTCGTGTGTTTCTTTGTCTTTTTAACTCCACGCCTCTTGCCAAGACCCTCGCATTTACTTCTCTTACAACCCCATCTATAAATATATTAAACACCACGGTGACATCACACATCCTTGTCTAAGGCCCACTTTTACTGGGAAATAATTTCCCTCTTTCCTACATACTCTAACTTGAGCCTCACTATCCTCGTAAAAACTCTTCACACTGCTTTCAGTAACCTACCTCCTACACCAACACACCTGCAACATCTGCCACATTGCCCCCCCCTATCCACCCTGTCATATGCCTTTTCCAAATCCATAAATGCCACAAAGACCTCTTTAGCCTTATCTAAATACGTTCACTTATATGTTTCACTGTAAAACCTGGTCCACACACCCCCTACCTTTCCTAAAGCCTTCTTGTTCATCTGCTATCCTATTCTCCGTCTTACTCTTAATTCTTTCAATAATAACTCTACCATACACTTTACCAGGTACACCAACAGACTTCTCCCCCTATAATTTTTGCACTCTCTTTTGTCCCCTTTGCCTTTATACAAAGGAACTATGCATGCTCTCTGCCAATCCCTAGGTACCTTACCCTCTTCCATACATTTATTAAATAATTGCACCAACCACTCCAAAACTATATCCCCACCTGCTTTTTAACATTTCTATCTTCATTCCATCAATCCCGGCTGCCTTACCCCCTTTCATTTTACCTACTGCCTCACGACCTCCCCCCATACTAGCAACTGGCTCTTCCTCACTCCTACAAGATGTTATTCCTCCTTGCCCTATACATGAAATCACAGCTTCCCTATCTTCATCAACATTTAACAATTCCTCAAAATATTCCCTCCATCTTCCCAATACCTCTAACTCTCCATTTAATAACTCTCCTCTCCTATTTTTAACTGACAAATCCATTTGTTCTCTAAGCTTCCTTAACTTTTGTATATATGTTAATAATATGATAATGATGCACAATAATGATATAATAATGATATATACAATACTGAAGATTCTCAACATGTTTGTAAGTTGAGGATTTACTGTAATAGATATAATTCATAGGGTGAAGGAGGGTTTGCTAATGTGATTCGTTCATGACTCACGAGATCATAATAACACGATTACAAACAAACCTCTGAATAAGTGAATTTTAATAATGGTTTCCCAAAGGTTTAACCCATAAACTGTCCAAATGTAGATCTGCGTTCACGTGCAAGAAGCTTCGAACTTATATCTACGTTTTTTTATACATGCTTTCAAATGGGGAAAATACAGGTTAGAGCGCTATGCACATGAACATAGATCTACGTTTGGACAGTTTAAGACTTAAACCCCATTCATTCCGTGGTTTGGAATTTGTTGATTTAGAGAGTATAGAGCGGTATAGGATGACCAAGAGGATGTATATGTCCAGGATAGGAGGAAGGAGAGGCAGGGGTTATCCCAGGAAGGGCTGAAAGTGGAGACAGTTGATATTTAGAATGTGACATGCTGTTGGAGTGTGAGCACTGGTATCATTAAGGCATTCAGGGAAATGTGTAAGTCGGACTTGAGTCCTGGAGGTGGGAAGTACAGTGCTGCACTCTAAAGTAAGGGTTTGGGATATTTGCTGTTTGGAGGGACATTCAAACTGTCATATTAGAGGGACATCTAAACTGTCGTATCTGTGTACCTCTGTCAAGACGAGTGATAGTGTGAATGATGGTGAAAGTTACTTTTTCAGGTCACCTGCCTCGGTGAGACAACCAGCACGTTAAAATAAAGTTAGTATACTTTGGTTGTTGTAAGGTTAGTAATCAAATTATTAAAATTGATTTGTATTTTATCAGGTGTTTGAGCCAAGTGAACTAGAGCGTGGCCATCTGACTGACCAAGATCACGAAATCCGTAAGTTGGACATCCCTGAGAGGTTCCAGTTACGGCAGATACCCGTCTCTCGCACCAGAGGAGAAGGTGACGATCGCTCCACAGACAAGGAGCTGGATCAAGAGGCCAAGTGGATATATCATCATGCATTTTTCAGGCCATATATATCCAATCAGGTTGTTAATATTTGTTAATAATGTGTTTACATTATTTTGACTGGTTTAAAAAACGTACAGGTGCACCTCGCTTTATGATGGTTTGACTTTACAGTGGTTTGACTTAAAATACTTAGACTTTGATTCCCAGCCAAAGTAGAAACATTGGGCGTGTTTCTTTCCACCTGTTGTCTATGTTCCCCATCAGTAAAATGGGTACCTGGGTGTTAGTCGACTGGTGTGGGTTGCATCCTGGGACACTGACCTAATGTGCTCGAAATGCTCAGCATAACAAGGGGCTTTCTGTATACAGTGGACCCCCGGTATTCGATATTAATCCGTTCCTGAGAGCTCATCAAGTACCGATAATATCGAGAACCGAATCAATTTTCCTCATAAGAAATAATGGAAATCAAATTAATCCATGCAAGACACCCAAAAGTATGAAAAAAAAAATTTACTACATGAAATATTAAGTTTAATGCAATAGAATAATTACAATAACAATAAAATAATTGACACTTACCTTTAATGAAGATCTGGTGATGATTGATGGGATGGGAGGAGGGGAGAGGTGTTAGTGTTTAGAAGGGGAATCCCCTTCCATTAGGACTTGAGGTAGCAAGTCCTTTTCCGGGGTTACTTCCCTTCTTCTTTTAATGCCACTAGGACCAGCTTGAGAGTCACTGGACCTCTGTCGCACAACATATCTGTCCATAGAGCTCTGTACCTCCCGTTCCTTTACGATTTGTCTAAAATGGGCCACAACATTGTCATTGTAATAGTCACCAGCACAGCTTGCAATAGCTGTGTTAGGGTGATTTTCATCCATAAAGGTTTGCATTTCAACCCACATTGCACACATTTCCTTAATTTTTGAAGTAGGCACAATGGAGTCCACAACTGGCATAGGCTTCTCAGGGTTAGCCCCAAACCCTTCAAAACCTTTCTTAATTTCCATTACTAATTCCTCACCCTTTTACCACGGGGTTGGCACTAGAAGCTTTCTTGGGGCCCATGGTGACTTATTTTGCAGAAACAAGCACCAAACACAGTGATAATATGGATAATATGGAATGTACCGAATGTATCCTTAGATGCGCACACACTGGCTGGCTTGTAAACACTGGCACACACGGGGCAGTTCAGGCCACACGTGGACAGGTCTCGTACGAATCGTATCGAATACCGGGTTTTCAATCGAATACCGAGGAAATTTTTTTGCGATATAATGCATCGAATACCGGATTTATTGAATACCAATGCCATCGAATACCGGGGGTCCACTGTAGTAGTATGTTATTGATGTCAGCTAAGCCTGTATACCATATACATGTACTTGTAGTAAATAAAGATATTATTACAGTGGACCCCCGGTTAACGAACTTTTTTCGTTCCAGTAGTATGTTCAGGTGCCAGTACTGACCGAATTTGTTCCCATAAGGAATATTGTGAAGTAGATTAGTCCATTTCAGACCCCCAAACATACACGTACAAACGCACTTACATAAATACACTTACATAATTGGACGCATTTGGAGGTGATCGTTAAGCGGGGGTCCACTGTATTATTATTATTTGACTTTACGGTGGTTGGACATAAAATACTTTGACTTTACGATGGTTTGATTTGTATTTTGATTTTACAATGGTGCGATAATGTTGCACATTCAGGATAAACATGTTTTCATTTTCGATATGGTATTTAGTTGTTACAAAAATTTTTTTGTTTATTGATTTTTTCATGACAGTAGTTTTTTATTTGATTATCATTTTCATTTTTTCACAAATTTTCAATTTAAAAATGGTTCATCGAAAGAAAAACCTTTGAAACCCGAGGACCCCTGTCAAACACCCCCTCTCCCTTTTTATTGAAGGTTTTTGTTTGGGATCTTGGTAAAGGCCCCAAAAAACCCTTGATGGGGCCCCAAGAATCTGATAAAGGTTTAAAGACCCTTGTAAAACCCCAAGCCCCTTGATAAAAGCCAAGAACCCCTTGAAAAAGGCCCAAAATTTTGATAAAGGCCCCAAGACCCTTGGTAAAGGCCCCAAGACTAAAAGGGTTTTGTAATATGTCCGGTGTTTGGTCCACCTTTTTAAACGTCTCAGTATCAGTTATAAAGATTTATCCCATTATTTTTTTTCCCCTTCCAAAAAGTCCATGATTTTGTTTAAAAAATGTGTTGGTAACTGACTATAAAATCGTAATTACACAATTGTAAAAAAAACCCACGAAAGGGTTCCCAGGGGTTAAAACCCCCTTTTTTTCCCGGGTTTGATAAAAACTTGCCAAAAAAAAATTTAAAAATCTTTCAGGTCGGACCCCTTACTCTCAATTGCTTCAATGTTGAGAACCTGCTCTAAAACTTGCTTGGTTGAAAACCCTGCTCTAAAAACTTGCTCTAAAATGTTGGCCCCCGCTCTCAACTTGCTCTCGTGTCGAGCCCCTACTCTCAAACTTGCTCTCAATTTGGGGCACCTGCTTCAAACTTGCCCATTTGAGACCCTGCCCCAAACTTGCTCTTGGTTTTGGGGACCCCTGTCTAAAACTTCTCTCAGTGTTGGACCCCTGCCCCAAAAACTTGCTCTCAGTTTTGAGACCCTGCTCTCAAACTTGCTCTCAGTTTTGGCCCTGCCTAAAAACTTGTTTTTGGTTTTTGAGCCCCTGCCTCAAACTTGCTTCAGTGTTGAGACCCCCGCTCCAAACTTGTCTCAGTGTTGAGACACCCTCTCAAATTGCTTCAGTGTTGAGACACCTGCCTAAAAATTTGCTCTCAGTTTTGGACCCCTGTGTAAAACTTGCTTCAGTGTTAAAAATTTTAAAAAAAAAAGATTTTTTCCCCTAAAATAAAAAAAGAATTTTTTTCCAAAGCTAATGAAACCAAAAATACAAATTTTTGAGGAATTTTGCTCCGCAAAGTTAGTGGTTTTGGTGATACTTACGCAATGGGATTTTGCCCCCCCGCATTCAGTTTTGGCCAACTGTGTTCCAGTCAACCAAACTCATAGATTTCACTGTTTCCTTCATTTGTCGTTTGTACGAGAAACCCCCCTTTACCTTTTTCAGTTACCAGTAAAGAAACAGAATCAGTAATTTGGCCCGTTCTTACAAAAAAAAAACAATTCCCAATTTAAAAAAGGGTCCAGGATAAATGTAGAATTCCTGGATAATAAACATTTTTCTTTTCCCTTAGTCTGTCTCCAGGATTTCCCCCCTCCCCTCCCCCGCCTCCCCCAGGCCTCCCCCGGGCCCTCCCCCAAGCTCTCCAGGTCTCCCCGGCCCAGCCCGGGCCTACCCAAGTCTCCCCCAGGTCCCCCCCAGGCCAGCCCGACCCCCCCAAGTCCCCTCCAGGCCTTTCCCAGGCCTCCCCAGGCTATTCCAGACCCTTCCAGGCCCCCTCGACCTTCCCCAGGCCTCTCCAGGCTTTCCCCGGCCCCCCCAGGCCCCTCCGGCCCCCCCCAGGCCCCTCCGCCCCCCCCAGGCCACCTCCAGGCCCCCCCCAGGCCACCCCCAGGCCCCCCCCCAGGGCACCCCCAGGCTTCCCCAGGCCACCCCCCAGGCCCCCCCCAGGCCCCTCCAGGCCTCCAAGGCCACCTCAGCCCCCCCCCGGGGCCACCCCCCAAGTTTTCCCGGGTTACTCTGGGCCTTCCCCCAGGCCCCCCCCAGGCCCCCCCGGCCCCCTCTTACATTCACTTGTTTTCTTTTTTTTAATTTTTATTCAACAAAAAATAGAAATTTATTTTTAGCAGATACGCATTTTGAAATAATTGTATAAATAACGTCAGTCTTCCCAAAGCGTTTTAGATTACCCATTTTGGGTGGTTTGGACGAGTGTGTCATTGTGTACTCGGGAATTTTGGAAAAAAATTAAATATTGCTTTTACTTTGAGCTCACTTTCAAGTACTTTTGCTTCTGAAAATAATCAAAATCGTCTGTTCTATCTATTTTTCCCAGTCTATCGAATGGCCCAAAAACTGAAAAAAAAAACCCATAGGGAAAATACCCGCAAAGTCTTTTTCATGCGTTTTTTTTTGCACGCTGCTGCAGGTTTTATTTATTGTTATTGGTGCACACTTATTGCTTAGCCCCTTCATATCTAGGCCCAAATTTGCACTCCAGTTTGAGTGAGTTGAGCCCCTGGTGGTATAGGGGACTAAACTGGCTTCACAGCCCGATACAGGAACCGCACTAAAAGGTTAAGGATCGATTTAGATTTACTTTTTTTTTGAAAAATTATGAAAGTGCATTTTTTAGAGTTCAGTATTGTTGGTTTTTTAGATACTCCCAGTAGGGTTAGTTTGTTAGATAATTACCATATGGTTAGATGTTAGATTTTACAAGTTGGTTGGGTTTGTTAGTGTTTAAAAGTATGATAAAAAAAAAGGTTCCATGGCCGTTGGTAGCCCCTGTCATGCCCCGAGTGTCTGTGGTTTGATCCCCAGACGGGGGGAAATGCTGGGCATGTTTCCTTAACCGGCTGTCATTGTCCCCTAGTGTAAGTAGGAACCAGGGTGTTAAGTACCTTACACCTGCTGTCCTTGTTCACCTAACAGTATGTACATACCTGGTGTTAGAACTGGTAAGGGGGGGCATTCTGGGGTGGTGATAGCATCCCTCAAAAGGGTGATGTGCAATCGCTTCTAGCCTGAAAATTGATTTGCTCAGAAAACATTGTTTCTTTCAACAGGGGGTCGGGAAGAGAAAGGGCGGTTTCCGCCGTGATATCAAAATGATTCAGAAGATTAAAATGCCCTGGCCCTGATGGGAAACTCCATTGTGAAGTCCCCATTTTTTTCCCTTCTCAGAAAGGGGGGTCCAGCCTGAAACAAATAACATGACTTGTAAAAAGTCTCCATTGGGATGGAAGGTATGTATTTCTACTCAGTCCCCTTAAAAATTTTTTTTTAAAGGCGGGTTTTATTGTTTGGAAAATTTCATTTTTTTGGTGGTGTTTTTATATTTAGTGAATAATGTGGGGAATTATCAAAATATGTTGGAAAATGCCATTTGTGACTAATCCCGATTAACAGGC